CTCCCACACATCTCCTCCTCTCAGCCAGCATCATAATCCCCTTATCCAGCACACCAATTCCCCCCGTTTCTGGATGTACCCCTAAACGTAGGGGTACCTCTTTAAATCATACATCCCCTGGTAGCCCTGATCTGGGTGAACAACATATCCAAAAATCACCCAGATCAGACCAGGGGTTCGGGAAAAGTATGGAGGGAATAAAATGACCGACCGCACGAACTGAGATAGCCGAATTCGGTTCCATGTGAATGGGCCCTGCGGTCGGTCCTGGCATAAGGGAATAAAATACACGAAAACCTCTAGCTATAGAGGCTAGGGAGGGTTCGCCTGAATCCCCTCGTTCGGTATTTTCTATCTACCGAACGAGGGGCCGTTCGGTAGTTTGGAACCGAACGGACCAGGGCTGTGGAGGTCTCAGCGGTGTTCGCCTACTCGAGTGTCCGATTTTAGTTCCAGACACTCGACGGCAAAACACCGCTGTTCGGGAGTTTTAAAATGGCCGCCGCCACGTGTTCGTTTGTCGAATGGCGGCCACCCCCGAGAACAAAGGACGGCTACTTACTGTTCAATTACCCGTTCGCAACAATGTTGCAACGGGTAATTGAGGACACACTTCACACAGGGGAGGCCTGGTTGTTCGGTAGTTTCATTCGAATAAACTAAGGGAATGAAACTACCGAACAATCAGAGGAATACAATTCGTTTTAATACATAGAAAATACAGCAGATACACGAATGCAGGTTTATACAGTATATTTGTAGGGTCGCCTGGTGCCATCCGCTACAGTAAGGAATAAGTAAGTTTAAATAACCTCTTTAACCCCTTAAGGACACATGACATGTGTGACATGTCATGATTCCCTTTATTCCAGAAGTTTGGTCCTTAAGGGGTTAAACTCTCTTCTCTAACCCTCTTTTGCGTGATGTCCCCCGCACGTCGACGTAGTCTTTACCGTGGACGGACGTGGGGCTATATAATTGCATGGGTCCACAGCGGCTGGCGTGCACCAACATGCCGCAAAAGCCAGGCATCATGGCAGAAGACCGCCGAGCGGCACTCCCCTCGTTCTTCAGAAGGTAATTATCTCAATTTTTGCCACATGGAGACGAAGGATACATGACACCCTGGTGATTAACTTGAATGCTTTCCCTGGCTGGTCGCCATTCGTATAACCGAACGCACATAATCCAGGGCCTTTTTGCCTCCCAAACGCAGACAGCGGTACCTGGTCGTCGAACGCCTGGAACTTTTTTCGGCCTCGTGTCTCCACGAACCAGGGCAAAGATGGTACCGCTGCCTGTCCCACTTCCCGAACAACTATACAATTGGCGTTCAGGAGATAGGATCTACCGAACAGGGGGAGCATTCGCTCCCTAACAGCCAGGGAGACAGGACATTGCCTTGTTTTTTATGGAACTATTTTGGGGTATCACCTTGTGGCCAACCGATCAAAACTTAATTTTAATGGCGTTCCCGAACCACCAAAGGTATCTATTGCGACAAAATGGGCGCTCAGACCCAAGCTATTCGGTTATATGACTTTTGTAGGGTTCCTACATTATTAAAATGTATTTTTATGATAAATTGCAATATTATATATGTTTTCCTGTATCTGAGAGATATTTGAGTTATAGTTTTCTCACTCAGAAACAGAGGCTCCTGGGAGAAAAACCCCTGTATTTTGGATGTGGAGACCTCATGCTAGGGGTCAGTGCATAAAAGCCGTGTGTGGCCAAAAAATAATCAGTTGTACTCCCAGAACTGTGTGTCGTCTAGTTGCTGGGGATGAGGTGGGCTATTCAGTTGGCTATATTTTGTCCCTGAATTCATGAATTCCTGATCCTAGCAGAGGGAGAGTCCGGGTCAGGACTAAGGCTCTGCTACACATGATACCATGGTCTACAGTATATTTGCAGCAAAAAGGGAAACACTAACAAGCCCATCTTGCATTATTATCTGTAACTTAAGCGAAAATTACACGAAACAAGACGAAACTAATGCCAGGGCTGCCTCTTCTAGTTTAAAACTGATTAATAAAATGAAATGATTTTTATGACTGAGTACTGTATAAAAATAAAATTAAGCAAACAATATATACACACAGTAATGAAATAAGCTTATGGATGAGAAAACAGGTGTTCCTCACACAAAAGGACAGAAAAATATTTCCTTAAATTTTGCTTGAGGCAGCAAAAATCCTTGTATTATCCCTGGTTTAACCCAATAATTCTAACTGCACATTATTATATTATGCCCCTTATCATCACACGGTTTAAGAAAACAGAGCTGGATACAAATACCCAGACACACGGTGTGATAACTTTAGTTGCCATGGATGTTAATAAATGATGCTCAAAGGATACTTTAAGGTAAACAGTAATGATTCCATTGAAGTGTCAGTGATTATTTTTTATAACCGTGAGAGTTAATACTACCCAAGACAGCATGGCTCGGCAGTGTCACTTAGTCAGGGGTTCGCTGACTGTCTACAGTTTGACTGGGGGGCAAATGATTCTTGCTGACCTAGATAACATCCTATGGATGCTCACAGTCAACAGCGACAAATACAGGAAAAAAACGACATATTTATAAACGTAAAAGAGACATGATTACGTCTTACATTTCAGATGCTGCAGAACCTCTTTTGGTGTTAGACCTCTGCTGTATGTGGTATGAAGTTAAACGAATACAAGGATTTACATATATATATATATATATATATATATATATTTTTTTTTTTTTTTATTAAAATGAGGACACAGTGAAAGCCCATTTTATAGGAACACCCCTAAGGAATTAAAGGGTCCCCTGAGTAAATTGCATTCCATTATTTTAGAGGTTACACACAGAGATTCAGGATGTTGACAGAGACATGAATTCCAATGGAGAATTTGGGAAAAGCGTTCATTCATTACAAGACAATTCATACAAAATATGGGGCTTTTAAATTTGGCATCATAGAACTGACTTAACACTTAACTTAATTGTATGGAGAAGGATGAAAATAAGAGTGAATTGGCAAAAGAGGTGAGAATTAATTAGGAAACAGTGAGCTAATTGGAGAGAGATGACAATTAGCAGAATGAAAAAAATGGGTGAATGAGAGAAGAGAGACTGAAAGAGAGAAAGAGAGAGACAGAGAAAGAGAGAGAGAGACAGAGAGAGTGAAAGGGAGAAAAAAAGAGATAATTACAGTGAGTGAGATTAAGTGAAAGAGGGAAGGAGAGAATGAAAGAGAGAGAGAGAGAGAATGAGAGACAGAGAGAGTGAAATGGAGAAAGAGAGAGAGAATGACAGTGACAGAGAGAGAGACAGAGAGAGTGAAAGGGAGAAAGAAAGAGAGAATGACAGTGACAGAGAGAGTGAAAGGGAGAAAGAGAGAGAGAATGACAGTGACAGAGAGAGAGACAGAGAGAGTGAAAGGGAGAAAGAGAGAGAGAATGACAGTGACAGAGAGAGAGGCAGAGAGAGTGAAAGGGAGAAGGAGAGAGAATGAAAGTGACAGAGAGAGAGAGACAGAGAGAGAGAGAGAGTGAAAGGGAGGAGAAATAATTAAAGTGACAGAGAAAGAGAGAGTGAGAGAGAGAGAAAGGGAGAAGGAGAGAGAATGAAAGTGAGAGAGAAAGAGAGAGAGAATGAAAGAGAGAAGGAGAGAGAATGAAAGTGACAGAGAAAGAGAGAGAGACAGAGAGAGTGAAAGGGAGAGAGAGATAATTACAGTGAGTGAGATTGAGTGAAAGAGGGAGGGGGAGAATGAAAGAGAGAGAGAGAGAGAATGAGAGACAGCGAGTGAAATGGAGAAAGAGAGAAAGAATGACAGAGTGAGTGAGAGAGAATGAAAGAGAGAGGGGCAGAATGAAAGAGATAGAGAGAATAAGAGAGAGAGTGAGAGGGAATGACAGATTGAGTGAGAGAGGGGGAGAATGACACACAGAGAGAGAATGACAGAGTGAAAGAGACAGAGAGGGAACAAGAAAGTGAATAGGAGAGAGAATGACAGAGTGAGTGACAGAGAGAGACGGAGAGCAAAGGAAGAAAGAGAGAGGGGGAAATGACAGAGTGCTAGAGAGAGTGAAAAAGAGAGGGGGGAAATGACAGAGTGCTATAGAGAGTGAAAGAGAGAGGGGGACATGACAGAGTGCTAGAGAGAGTGAAAGAGAGAGGGGGGACATGACAGAGTGCTAGAGAGAGTGAAAGAGAGAGGGGGGACATGACAGAGTGCTAAAGAGAGTGAAAGAGAGAGGGGGGACATGACAGAGTGCTAAAGAGAGTGAAAGAGAGAGGGGGACATGACAGAGTGCTAGAGAGAGTGAAAGAGAGAGGGGGGACATGACAGAGTGCTAGAGAGAGTGAAAGAGAGAGGGGGGACATGACAGAGTGCTTAAGAGAGTGAAAGAGAGAGGGGGGACATGACAGAGTGCTAGAGAGAGTGAAAGAGAGAGGGTAAGAATGGCAGAGAGAGAGAAAGGAAGAATTAGAGAGTGACACAATTAAAGGGGAAATTGAGAGAGAATGACAGAGAACAACGAGTGAGAGGGGGAATTATACAGTAACAATGAGAAGGAGAATAAGGGAATGTTAGAGAAAGAGAGAGCTGGAGAGATTAATGGAGAGTCAGAGAGAGAGTGAGAGAATGAATGACACAGAGCAGCAAAAGGAGTGTGACTGAGAAAGAGCAAGAGAAACAGAGACAGAGAATGAGAGAGTGACAGAGAAAACGAGAGAGTGAGAGTGAGAGAGAATGAGAGAGTGACAGTGAGAGAGAGAGAGAGAGAATGAAAGTGTGATAAGCAAAGGGAAAATGAACAAGTGATAGAGAGAGAGTGATAAAGACAGGATGAAGAGAGAGAGAGAGAGAGAGAGAGAGAGAGAGAGAGAGAGAGAGAGAGTGATAAAGGAAGTATGAATGATGAGAGAGTGATCCAGAGCGACGGAGAGAGTGATAGAGACAGTATGAATGGTGAGAGAGTGATCCAGAGAGAGTGGCCCCTGTGACTGTGTCAGAGAGAGCTCTCGGTGAGGTTAGAGAGTGTCAGAGAGAGGGTGTGCACAGCAGTCTGTGAGTGGGCTGTAATTGGTTTGTGGCAGCTGGGAGGATTGGACAGGCTGCAGATTAGGAGCAGTCAGACTCAGGACTCTGAGCTCTTATGGGAGCTAGGAAGTGCCTCCAGCAGTGGCAGTAAATGAGCTGTGAAATGGGAGGGAGGACCACGAGTGGCAGCTGGTGTGATGGACAGTGAGGGAAAGGGACACCACATGTGCTCATGGCATCCAGAGAGTGCTCCAGCCCAGGAGAGAGGACCCGGGCTCCCCTGACACTGCATTGCCAGCACTGAGTCCAGGCAGGGGCAGAAGATCATCATGTCTGTAGCTATAAGGGGCATCTCCTGCCAAGACCGTGCCAGCATCCCCAGCCCAGGTAAGTCACTGCAGTGCCTGGTGATTGTATAATAGGGGCACGCATGGCTGAGCCATTAACATTACCTTGCCAGTCTATTTATAGTGAGTGACATGCCAGCCTGGCCATTTACACCCATTATATACCCACATGCCTTCTTCTTACAATAAAAGGGTTAATGCTCAGATTTACTATTTTAGTATCGCCTTCTGAGCAAGGTTTTTTTTTTTTAAATAACCCTCTGGCACTGTATAGGTTAAATCAGACTAATTGTATTACTTACAATACATTATTCTTCTAAATACATTGTATCATCAAAGTATTAGAACTCTGTGAGTGCTCTGTCAGCCAGGTGCTACAACTCCTATCATGCTAAGGGCACTTAGAAGATTGATTGTACATTTGCAGAGCATTATTATTATTAGTTTATTTTATTTTATCTTTAGATAAAAAAAATTTCTCGCTTTTTTGTGTGACATAAAACAATTCCCATGCATGAGCCATTGAGGCTGAGCGTTATTCAATTGTCCATCATATTCCCATTGAGGGATTCACATAGCAATCCAGTCTTTGATGTGTTTAATAAGTGCTGGCATTAGACCCACACTGCAGAATGTTGGTTCAACCCTCCAAATATTTATTGGAGTTGGACAGAAGTTCTAATAAAGGAATCATATCTTGAGAACTTTTTTTTTTTTTTTTTAATATATGGAAAGAAAATAAAGAAATAACCTTTTATGATTTTTTTTTTTTGGAAGTTGTCCTTTGCTTCAGAATACAAACTGGCAGCTTTTATAAATAGAGCTATCCGCATCCCAGCTTCTATGTAACACTGTGAAGATGATGCATCTGCTGTCCTAAATCTAATTGCCATTCTCTGAATCAATTGATGAACACCCATTGAAAGGATATCACTGTTAATTTTCTGTTTGTTGTTTACCTTATCTAACACATATAAACATTTTCTTAGATCTTTGACAGAAGATCATCAAGTAGAATATAATTATTTTTCCTTCTTCAGGCATAAGGACCAGACCAGAAAATATTGTGTGCACCTTGGAATCTGTGAGCACTACAACCAGGGGAAATGCTAGTGTTGGTCAATCCCAATCAGTTGACGGACATCAATCTCTCTTCACACAGTGCAGAAACAAACTCTCACACCCAGAACCCTCTGCCATCTGCATTCATGACTGACAGACCCTTAATTACAACTGAACCAGACTTGGTCTCTTTCAACCAAACCAATTCTACTGATTGTGGAGAGGAGATCCTGCTGTATGGTGACATTGAGAAGATTGTCATTGGGGTTGTCCTCTCAATCATCACGGTATTTACCATTGCTGGCAATGGGCTGGTCATAATTTCGGTGTGCATTGTGAAAAAGCTCAGACAGCCATCTAACTACCTGGTGGTCTCCTTGGCGGCCGCTGACCTCTCGGTGGCCATCGCAGTGATGCCCTTTGTCATCATCACTGATCTGGTTGGTGGAAAATGGCTTTTTGGAAAAGTGTTCTGCAATGTATTTATTGCCATGGATGTCATGTGCTGTACAGCCTCTATCATGACTTTGTGTGTAATCAGTGTGGACAGGTAAGAGCATTAACCTTGGACAATGATTAAAAAAGTAAAAATAATGTTGTTGGGTAAATTAATCATGTGCGAATGATTACCATGAAGACACAACCATGGTGGGTTTGTGTGACATGATGAGACAGAGCACTCAATTTTTTTTTTTCTAGAATAAAGATTCCAATGCTCTGCTATACTGGGGAATAAAACGTTCTGGCCATGCTGAATTTAAGAGAAGGGACTAGTACCCAGAACTAGGAGGTACCATTTAAAAGCAAAAGGGCAGTACACAATGCATGGGCTGTTAAGAATCCTACTAACTTGGACCATTTAAAGGTGGATAAAATACAAATGGTAGATGATGGGTCCCTGGTGCTATGTATGGTAGTATGTCTGGAACAGGAGTGACCATACATTAGTGACATGGGAACTGATTTTTTGGTAGCCATGTTGACAAGATCTACCACCTTATCAGAATGGCTTTGTTGACTTCAATCCCAGTGCACTGATATTTTTTTAATATTTATATATATTGGCACAGATGGTAATAATGTAGGTATTTTTGTGGGATCCCATCTGTATAGAGTAGTCTGTTTGTGTATTAGTGTGTAAAGGAGTCTGTTTATGTGCGACCAGGGGCTGAGGTATGTGCACATGATTAAGGGCTGTAGAGACTGTGTGTCTTAGGGCTATAGAGTGTGTATGTGTGTTTATTGGTATTGTCTGTAGTGTGTGTGTGTATAGAGGCTGAATAATGTGCGTGTGTGTGTGTTTGTATTTAAGAGCTGCAGTGTATGTATACAGGGGTTGCATTCTCTGTGTATTAGTGGCTGTATTGTGTGTTATGTATAGGGACAGTAGTGTGCATGTGTGTGTATAGGAGCTGTATTTTTGTGTATAGTAGTGTAGTGTATGTATACAGGGGTTGCATTCTGTGTGTGTATTAGTGGCTGTATTGTGTGTTATGTATAGGGACAGTAGTGTGCATGTGTGTGTATAGGAGCTGTATTTTTGTGTATAGTAGTACAGTGTGTGTATAAGGGGTGTAGTGTGTGCATCGTGGTATAGTGTGTTGTGGGTATTTATGTGTCTAAAGGTGCACAGTGTGTGTATGCAGGGTGTAGAAAGTGTGTGTGTGTGCAAGGGCTGTGATGTTTTATATAAAGGGTATATTTGAAGCATATATACTGGTGGTCCATTGTGCTGAGTAATACTGGTGGGACCTGGGCAGCCTATGGCAGGGGTGCAGTCCATGAGCTCCAGCACTTACACTTACAGTGTCAGAGCCCTGCCATGGTAACCTGCGTCAATGCTCTGATTGGCAAGAGCTCAGGACAAGGGGGAGCAGTGCAGCCTCCGGAACAAGTGCAGAAGAGAGGCTGCACTGCTCCCCCTGGCATTACAGTGGTGAAGAATGAGAGGAGGGTCCCACATTTGGCAGCACACTGGTCAAACCTCTGGGTCCCCTTCTCGTGTTGAGTGCTCGATAGGTCAGTCCACCCCTGACTACATGTATGCAGAATGTCCAAGCTTACTTATAGTGCTGGGACATTCTCTGTATAGTACAAGTGTCTGCTTTGATGTTCACGGCGATCTACTATTTAGTTGACTTCGATTGACTTGTAGATCGCGATCGACTGAATGGCCACCACTGGTCTGGAAGAATTATGGAACAAACTACTAATTTCATGGAAATAAGTCAATAAATGAATGGGATGTTTTAAGTGAGTATTCACATTTAGTATTTGCACTTGATAAGCAATAGGTGCTGCTTAATCTCTAAGTTTTAAAGGATCTATAAAGGGTTGACCTGTGTCAACTTACTACCCCGACATCAAATGTTAACACGGTTCAATTGAGTTGCTCATGTTAAATTAGGAGGAAAACACCCTGGAGGACTAGATGGTGATGATGTTAAAGTATGTCATCGGTCCTTAAGAGATTGATAAAATATTGCCCTGAATATCTAGCTAGCTTCATCTATAAAATACGTGTCCAATATTGAATTCCACCACGTCCTTACTACTGAGAATATGTCAACCTTTTTATTAAATTACATTTAGATGCTAATGGTACGAGGCATTTAATGCTTGGTATTGGGTTTAATCATTGAATAATGTTTATAAACTATGTTCTGTAGGACTAATAAGCCCTTTGGTTTTTTTTTTTGTACAACATTCTAAGATAATCTTAAAACTAAAATCACACATTTTGAAACATTAGGCTTCCATGTCAAATTTTCAAAGTCACTATCAAAACAAATTGCAATTTAACATCTTCCAGTAACTTGATTTACTTTATACCAATTTGGTTTGTACGAGTGTATATCTGAAAGAGACTTAATCAACAAATCGAATAGCCTTTAAAACATGCCAAACAGAACTCACGGTGATAAACATATATATACTGAGTCTGTGTGTTCGTCTGTGTATGAATGCATGTTTGTTAGTGTGTGAAACAGTATAATAGATAAAACAAAGAAACAACAAAAAGTCTTCCAGATTATTTTTGTATAAAAGAATGTGTGATAAGGAGAGTCCGTGTTAGAGACTGCCAGAGAGACACAATGTCAGGAACAAGAAATTGCACAGCACTAAGAAGAAAACTTGGTGGCCAAAATAGGAGAGCTGAAAAACAAAGTATTTAGCTTATTATAACAGCTCGACTATTTTGGCAGAACATCTATAATTCCTCTTTCAATTCTCTGCAATCACTTGTTTGCACGGTAGGAATTATTCACTGAGCATCAAAATATTGTAAATTAAAATACGAATTGCAGATGTACAATAACACAGCCAAGATGTGACTGTAGATGAGTTTTAGAATTTTTACCAAATCAGCAATTCTACCTACATTTCGTTAACCATTTTTCAATTTATTACAGTTTGGCATTTGGTAAATAATCTCCGATGTGTCAGAGTGAGTGGAAGACAGATAGACAGGGAGAGAGAGAAATAGGTAGAAATGGCTTCATACATTGTGTTATTTTTGTCTTTGAGCCAATATGGTATAAAGATGTCTGATTAGTATTTACATGTGACAACTAAATAGGGGTGACATTTTTGTAGTTTTTATGTAACTTTTCATAGCATACAAGAAACCAGAAAGAGATGACAAAATTGTAGGAACATAGCTATGCACTTCTACTATAAAACAAATGCTATTTAGATCAATTTTGGGGGCAGTCATTTCACTGACACCTTTTCTAGAAGTAATTATTTTCTATGTGTGCATCAGTTGTGTCACACATAAAATTCTATTCTCACAGAAAGATATTTATCCATGTCCCCATTGAGTGTGAGAGAGCAATAAATGGCGTTGCAAAAATAGATTTTGGAGCACTGTGTGGAGCTATCTCCATGGAAACTAATAGAATGTTCTTGTTGTTTGCACCGTTTATATTCTCTAGAACTGCACGATAATATCTATTTAGAGATGGCTGGACAGGAGATCTGTAAGTGAGGGTGACAGAGAAAAAGACCAACATTTGTGTAGTTGATAGATTGGTAGTGCGGTTTTGTGGCAAGATGGAAGTTGCAGGGTGTGTAAGAAAGATGCTGTGGTGTGTGTGAGAATCTGTTTGTGACATTAAGAATAAAATCATTCTGTGGAAACGTGTGGGAGGATATCGTTACAGTGTGTGTGTATGTGAGAGAAAATGTGTGTGTATGTTTGTCTATAACAGCTCACAGTGTAAAATGCTTCATTATGCACTTCACAAACCCACTGAAGCAAAGAACAATAGCTAAAAACAGTCAAATAACAAAAGACTTACTTACAATATCTAAAATGATTAGATACGTGCTAGTAAAATGCTGAAGGTGAGAGAGAGATTGTGTGTGGCATTATGGGGAGTGTAAGCTTTGTATTTGGTTGAGATATGAGTGATCGAGACAGTGAAATATTCTGAGAGAGAATATAAGAGACCGATACGGTGCGAAGGACAGAGGGCAAGGAAGAGGCTATTGTCTGTGACTGTGAGTATTGCTGTGTGTAAGAGTGTTGATGCGTGTGAGAGGAGAATTGGCTGCGTGTGAGTGGGAAATAGACGGAAACTACAGATGATGTTTGTGAATGAGTAACAATCTTATCTTTGTAAATACCAATCACAGACTGAAGGTACATCCATCTTTCTCATGGAAATTACATGGATTACACAGAAGGAAAAAGACAGACGGAGTAAGAGATGAAAATAAATCTAAAATAAAGCAAAAATGAAAGAAAGAACAAATAAAAGAATTTAACAAAAGACATAACAGAAGATGTGTGTAAGAAAGGATTGACTGAAACGGGTCAGAGGCTTCTGGTAACTGAGATGGAGTGAAAACATGTGCCAGAATACATGACAAGTATATGAGACAGACAGGAGAAACAAAAAAAAAAAAAAATAAGATTTACACATCAAATAGTTATTCACCTAACTCACCCGATGGCAAACTCATTGATGAATAACAGTTGGAAATAGAGCAGAGTGATACCATGGATTCAATTATCTGCTGCTGTCATGTATTATTGATTAAGGGTGGGTGACCCAACCAATAGTTAGTCTAAAAGTGGGTAAGATATTGGACCACCTGGATATCCTTTAAGCCTCTCTTTTTTTTTCTTTCCCCCTGGCTATAATGTAGTATTTAATACTACCGCTAAAGGCAGCATGGCTGACCAAGGAACCTTGCATGGGTCTGTTCATTTTAAGGAGATGAAATGTTGGGATACCATCAGTAGATGTTGGAGTCTCTGTGTGTGTGTCGGTAGGGTACAGGTGTGATGAAAAATAGGTAACTTGAGGCCATAAGTATTGGTATTACAGGAGGTAAGTTTTCTCAACAGCAGCCTGACTTTGTAACAGGGAATACCCGACACAGTTGGTCATAGCATGATCGCGTGATACAGGAATGGTTGGTAAATGATCCTGAGTATACTGGACTTAAATGTTGAATAATCTATCCTCCTTACTAGAGGGTCATATTGACGAACATGGTGCTCGCCATCTGCAAATAATTAGTGAAGTCTATACCATAAGGACTTTTTCAATCCTGACCTCTAGAAAAAATTCAAATGGCACTATAATTTTTTCTGTTAGTTTTCCATATGTCGTTTGCTTTATGTTACTTGTATCTTATTAAGTACGCAAGTCTCGAGGGAAGTTACACGTGCTTGTCAGAGTGCTCTGATTGGTTGGCTTCCAAGGCAACCACTCATATCATTCAGACTGAAATTGCATAGCGTGGGAATCGTTTCTCTGCACTGAGCCTGTTGCATCTATACTTTAAAATAAAAATATTTTTTTTGCAACCTATTTTTTAATTTTTTATTTTAAGAGTAACGACAGGACGTAAGAAAAAAAAGACATCTGATAGTAAGTATAATTTTTGAGGTATTAGGTTTGTTGCCTCCCTCACTATTATTAGGGTGAGAGAGGTAGGTAGGGCGCTTTTTTTTGGAGTGTTGCTATGGGCTTGGGAACCCCTAGCCACTAGAGGATGGCACATTTTTTTTGGCAAGTGGACAATGGCATGTCCACCCCCTTTTTATATTCAAATGTAGCCTCCATCTGCCGCACAACCATTAGTTAACGTTACTAGAGCCCCAACCACTACCCATGGATGTGGGCTTGGGGCTATAACAGCCCATTTATTAATATTATTCGAGCTATGGGCATCGGGGAACAATAGGTTCCTTATAATTAGAGTCTACATCTGCCACCTATGGGTGAAGATTGGTGGGGGACGTTAAGGGGGAGAGTGATCTGTTCACCACTGTTTCTTAAATTAAAGCACTCACCCAGTGTCCATGGGTGGGGTCATGATGGTGGGGTACTTTTATTACTGGTGACTGTCACTATTTTTAAGGAAATTTATCAAGGATTATGTCATCGATAATTTTACACTGAATTGATGAATCAGATATTTTTTACACTAAGTATAATATCAATTTTCAATACCTATTGAAAATCAATACTGTTCAAAATGACATTTATCGGCTCCTGATAAGCCTTTAATAGCAGTAATTAAATTGATTCAAAACCAATAATAGGCTTATTGGCAGCTGATAAACTGCCAATAAACATTACCAGTTGTAATGTAATCGAGACCCAAGATGATTTGCATCCTTTCGTAGACAACAGGCAGAAAGATATACAAAGAGATAAGTGGTTATTCATCATGTAATCCATTATTACAATGTGTTTTGCTTTTAAAACATGTATGTGCTTTAATTCAGCAAATCATACGAGAACGGTGATATTTTCTAACCTATTCTATGTCACAGTAAAGTAATGAAACAGTTCTCTCAATCATCTTGCAGTCAAAGACTAAAGATACCGTCTTGACGATCTAGTGTTTTCCGGGTCAATGAATCTGGGATATGAAACATTGTGACGAATCATTGCCTCGTAAGAGGATTTTCTGCTTTCTTGTGTTACAGTGTTGAAGATGAAGCCGATTATAGTAAAAGCATAACACTTGGAATTAATGTACTCGGCTGAGCACTTCATAGAAAACATCCATTAAAAACTATATGATGTTCTCAAGAGCCCTGACATAAGCAGCGTTCATTAGCCATTGTAACAGGAAGGCTCTGGGGATGAATTAAGATCTTCCCTTGCATGGCCCATTCATCTTGCTTAGGGTTTAAGTACCACAAATCAGCTGCCCTGTGTGATTGACAGGATTACAGCTAATCACTTAATTCAAAAGAAATGACAGGATTTACTGTGTTATATATTTGTTTATTTTTCCTTGCCAACACCTTATTTAAATTTTTACTATAACAGGATTTCAGTAGTTCACTAATACAAGAAGAGATTTATCAAAATCGCCTTCTAACCTCTAAAACACAATCATGTTAATTAAAATACATTCTTGTTGCATCCGTTGAAATATTTATTTTTTGTGAATCGGTATTGGCTAAACAGGAATTTATTTATAAGTTTATGTATGATCTAGTTTTCCAGAAGAGGTCCTTGGAGCATTCCAAGACTATTACACTCATCTCTACATCCTAACCCTGCCCTGCCAGGGCGTAGCTGCCCAGCTACACCAAAGGAGAATCACAGACTTCTTTGAACAATACGTCACCGGTAGCAGAGGAACTGGAACAACCCCTGACTGTGGAGGAGTTAGAAGCTGCTCTTAAACTCTCCAAAGCTAACAATGCCCCAAGACCAGACGATCTCACGCCGACCTACCTTCGCACATTCCAGTAACTACTGCTCCCAAAACTTTTGACAGGCCTCGAATCTCGACGCTTCCCAGACGATTCACTGGCTGCAGTGGTGACTGTAATCCCTAAGAACGGTAAAGACCCATCTAACTGTGTGAGTTTTCGCCCCATCTCCCTCCTGAATGCTGCCTGATCTTATCCACCCTGACTAGGTGGGCTTCATCCCAAGCCAAGAAGCCCGACACAACACTATCAGAGCCCTCAATGTCATTCGCACCATTATGCTCCTCTCCGATGCAGAAAAGGCATTTGATCGAGTGGACTGTACCTACCTATCGTCAGTTCTCCAGCACACAGGGCTAGGCCCGCACATGAGGTCCTGGATTTCATCTCTTTATACCACCCCCTCGGCATGCATCAGGATCAACGGCATACTCACCCACCCATTTGCCATCCGAAATGGTGCACGCCAGTCCCCCCTGCCCCCCCTCCTGCTTGCCCTCTCTCAGGAACCATTTCTGGAGGCAGCTAGATGGAAGGGGGGGTTATACGGGGTTCACTTGGGGCGGAACGGAACACCGCGTTGCGGCATAAACCGTCGACATGCTCTTTTTCATAGAGCAGCCAGCAATTACCTTGCCCAATCTCCTAGCCCTCTTCTCCCTATTTGACTCACTGACAAACCTAAAATTGAACATGGAAAAATCGGAGGCCCTGGGACTTACACTCTCACCTGGCGTAGAGGCACACCTCCACTCCCCATTTGCTCTCTCCTAGCGTACAGATAAACTGCGATACCTTGGCATATGGCTCCCTATACACCTCCACAGCTGTACGCTCTGAACTTCCTTCCCATCCTCTACACCCTCCAAACAGACATGAGACGAAAGTCCGACCTCTATATGTCATGGTTCGGATGTATTAACGCAGTAAAAATGAACGTCCTTCCACACCTTTTATATTTATTCCAAACTATCCCAGTGGCCATCTCCAGGGCTTTCTTTTAATCCATTTCATTGACCAGCTGGAGCTTCATATGGAATAAAAAAACGTACAGACTCCACAAATCCCAACTGACCAAACCGAAATACGCGGAGGGGAAGGGTCTTCCATCAATTAAAACATACTACCAAGCTGCCCACCTACTTCGATTAGCAGACTGGCACCCGCTTTCATCACCTTAATTGTGGGTGGCAATGGATCTTCAGCAAGGGGGAAGGACGATCCTCACCAGCTCTGGCTAGGGGGCACCACACACGGCTCTTTACGCACAGGGAACCCAATGATTGACGCCACCCTACAGGTGTGATGCTCCCTTCGATACTCACACAAGCTGACCACTGTCCCTGGCCCACTAACTCCAATCACAAATAACCATAATCTCGAAGAGGGCCTTAGGCCCAGAGACCAACAGGGCTTTCTGATCACTGACTGGACATATATGCCAATGGTGCGATGCGAACATGTTCAAACCACTGGCAGACTTGCTACCCGAGGATAACCTGACAGGGATAAAACGATTCCGTTACCACCAGGTCAAAAGGTACTACACTTCTATCAGTGGTAGGCCTTTTATTACCCAGGTCCCTCACCCAGTTTAAAACACTTTGCACCTCGCGGTCACATATGTCATGGGGAATTTCTACACTGTACACCATGCTTCTACTGGGAGGAGACAAGCAGATCCCCAGATTCACGGTAAGGTGGGAAAGGGAAACTGGGGAGACTCTCATGGAATCAGGAATGGGACAAGATGTATGTCCTGACCATGTATGCTCCATAAGTTCAAAGTACCAGGAAATGAGCTATAAAGTGCTCACCAACTGGTATAGAACACCTGACATACCCCACCGAATTAACCCATCAACGCCGGAATGCTGGCGCTGCGGGTCTCACGCGGGCACAATGCATCTGGTGGTCCTGCCCTGACATCTCCCCTTTTTGGACAGTGATAGACTCGAAGATCAGGGAAATCCCAGAATCCGACATCCCATTGCAGACGCTCCCAATGCTCTTGCACCACACCACCGTGCTTTGAAAGACCTACAAAAAATTCTTGACCAAACACCTACTTACAGCAGTGAAGTCCTTAATACCGACCCTTTGGAAGCCCCTGGGTGTGCCTGCTTTCTAGCAGTGGGTACCTAGGGTGGAGGAGATTTCCAAAATGGAGTCCCTGACTGGGCACCTCAGATAGGCATCTCTCTACCTGGTTTCCATGGTTGGACTACATCTCCCAAATGGGTAATGCTGCCCAGAACTCCTACATTCCCCCTGTCTCCCCCCCCCGGACCAGAGAGACCCAGAATAGATAAAGCATCCCTGGAGCCTGACCTGGCTGCCTCTCCCTACCCCTTTTCCCCTCCCCTTTTTTGTTTTCTTTTCTCCTCTACACTTTTTCTCCTTTCTCTCCCTCCTTCTCCTCACTCTTTGTCCCTCATTTCAGACTGCTCCCTTCCTCAAAACCTCCTACTACTCTCTTCTCGAACTCTCCAGTTCACATTCAAACTATAAGCCTACAACACGCGGCACCTGAAAGCCCCTAACATACTCGCTTTTTTTGCCCAAGTGGGCATGGTTCAAACGACTGAATGATCAGCCCCCCAGTTTTACTGGGGCTATCTGCAACCATGCTCACTACAGGTGTTATTTAAGTATTGTAATGAAAATGTACTTTTCAGGCCAATATGGGCCTTATACCCAGTTACGATTTCTGTATCTCTTTGTGGTGGTTTAAATACCACTTTTGAAAACTTCCTCTAATAAAGATTGTCAAAAAAAACATTATGTATTGTGATCCTTGTCACCAGGTAGCACGGTCCTCTAGGGCAAAAACATGCACAGTCCTTGTAGTTGCAAATACTCCAGGCACTTTATTTGTAAATCCACACAGGATACAGCAGTAAATGAAAATCAAAAGTAACACAAAACCCTATAAACAAACACCTAGCTCGTCTGAGCACTAACTGACTTTAGTTCCCTATCTCTCAGGGTTAAACTAAACACAATATTGCACCAACCTTATTAGAGAGCAACGCTCTGCTATCTAACCTGTTGCTTTCCTTTCTGCACTCCCAGTGCTCCAAGCCAGCCTTGCCCTGACTGCTTTGCTTTCTGCACTCCCAGTGCTCCAAGCCAGCCTTGCCCTGACTGCTTCCTTTCTGCACTCCCAGTGCTCCAAGCCAGTCTTGCCCTGACTGCTTCCTTTCTGCACTCCAAGTGCCTAGTCTTCTTGACTATATGGAGAGAACAGCCTCTCTCTCCTACCTGCTTCCTGGGAGGAAGCCAGCAATCCCTCTCCTTTTCCTGCCTAGCCGGGAGGAGTTTATTCCCACTGCAACAGCTGATTACCTGCAGCTGAGCAGTGGGTTGGAGACAGTCCAAAAAACCCTGGCCTGGATCTAGGTCTCCCCAGAACACCACTAAACTGTGGAGTGGAGCATTGGCCCACCCTTCTCTCCAAGTGCTCCACCCCAGGGGCCCATAACTAAACAATGCGTTGTGTTGTGCAAAACACAAACTACACATACTCCCCCTGGGGTTAAAAGGCCTATCTGCCTTCACTTTATCACATATCCTCCTCCCCAGCTCAGACCCATCGGGTCGAGCGGCCTTAGAACACATACCGTGAACATTCACGTCACCTAGGGCTGTACCAGCCCTGACTAGCTTCACAGTTACAGGAAGTGGCCTATTGTGGATGGCTGCTACCTTGCTCGCTTGTATTTTAAGGAGCCCCCACCCAAGTGGATAACTCAAATAGTTATCAAATCCCAGATAACACGTAGCAGTGTTATCGGTCAAACCGGCAGCCTTTACCTTATTTACAACTAACCGGACCTTCATCAGGTGTGCTACAAAGTCCACCCTGTGAATTGCCACATCACCAAGATAGGCAGCGGCATACTCTGGCTGGAACAAAACACTTTTCATCAAAGTAACCTCACTCCCTGAATCTATCAGTGCTTGTGCACTCTTCTCTACCACCATCACCACTTTTAACTGTGCTGTAACACCACCACCAGTCACCATACACATCTTTAAGCAAGTCAATACAATCCTATACAGAACCCTTATTACTATGTCACATTGTATTGTCTCTTCACTCTCAGGACAGCTATATGTAATATGTCCATGCATGCGGCAGTTGAAGCAGTTTTTCTCAGTCTGGTCTCGTAGCCAAAATAGGACTTTTAGGTACGTTCTACCATCATAGGTATATTGTCCCAAACTTTGTCCTTGCTTTCCAGTTTCCCCGCTTATCTGGTTGCTAGCGGATCTAGGCTGAGGATCAGTACTGTGTGGCTCCTTAGTAGCCAAGTTCCTCTGAATCATCATCTGCTTCCACATCCATAGCAGCTTCTGATTTGATAATCTCTCAACGTTAGAGTAACTTTCAAAAGCAAACTTTGCAAAGGCTTGGCGTGTAGCTATACGTCCAATTCCTTCATGAGCTGAATTTTCCAGGTGCTCAACCTCTTCAAGACCTGGTTCTGTCACCAGCTCATCCTTCACTGGAACAAGTCCCTCCGCGAAGGGCTCCACAACATGCTCCATCTGTTCTGCGAATCCCTGGGAACCTGCTTTGCTCCCTATGGGGGTGTCCAGAGACGCAGTCATGGCCTCTCGCTGGGTCATTACAGCCCTGGTATCAAACAGCCGGTCAGGCATTCCGAGTCCCGCCTTTAATTCCATGACTGTGTTCCCAGAATCTGGCAGCTGTTCCCGGTAGTCAGTGCGTCCAGGCCTTGTAGCAGTAGTCTTTGCCAGCAGTTCCAGTTCTACGGCTCCCAAACAATCATTCAAAGTCTTTGTAGCTATACCAGGTGTCTCTGAAATATTTAATTCCGCTATGCCAATGTCACCTACTTTGTGACGTTCGCCTTGGTCTGGCTTAGCTACGGACGTGCCCATCTTATCATCAAAGCATGGTTCCGTAACTGTCGCTCTCTCTTGGCTTAGATCAGAAGCGGCTACTTTGCCTTTCTTGTTTTGACTTTGTTTTGCTACTACCTCTCGGCCTTGCTTTTCTCTGCCAAACTGTTCAACAGCTGGTCGACATTCTTGGGTAGCCTCAGCTACTAAACAGTGCACCGCATTGTTATACTCCACTGGGGTGCCTTGCTTCTCTCCATTTTGCTCAGCTCCTCTGCTGTTGTCTTCTCTGACTCCCCAAGTCAGTCTGCTTTTCATGCCTTTGACTTGTTCACTTGGTTGTACATCAGGGGCTTCTGCTTCATTTTTCTTTCCCTGGCTGTATCCACTAGCTTTACTTACACCTTCTGGGTGGTTTTTGCTTACCACCAACTCTTTTTCAAAGACCTCTTTATCACTACATTTAGGCTCAATTTCATCCTTCTTGCCTTCTAATTCCTGTTCTCTCTCTCCTGCGTGTTTCTCAACAGCACGCTTTGCTGCCTCCATGCTTTTCAGCTTGCTGAGGACTTCTTCTACTGCCTCTGTCATCCCATGCAGGATGTCAGTAGCTTGGTTACAGGGACCCTTGTCCCCACGCTCCCTGCAGGGGGCAATCTGCAAAACCTCAGTAAGGGCAGCTCTATGCTCCTGCTGAGCGTCCCTCAGGTTCTTAACCTGTGCAGCCAGGAAACTGTTTGTGCCTTGTTGTTTAGCCGTTGCCTGTACCACAGCTCTCAGCAGGTCCTCCATTATAGCACCAAGCAGGTAACAGTCTTAAAGGTACAGTGCTACTTGTTTGCTTAACAGGTCTGCAAAAATAAAAGTCCTCAAGCAGACTACCAAATGACTGGCACACCCACAGACCCTCAATGTGCTACTGTGCCCGCATTCTCCACCATATTGTGATCCTTGTCACCAGGTAGCACGGTCCTCTAGGGCAAAAACATGCACAGTCCTTGTAGTTGCAAATACTCCAGGCACTTTATTTGTAAATCCACACAGGATACAGCAGTAAATGAAAATCAAAAGTAACACAAAACCCTATAAACAAACACCTAGCTCGTCTGAGCACTAACTGACTTTAGTTCCCTATCTCTCAGGGTTAAACTAAACACAATATTGCACCAACCTTATTAGAGAGCAACGCTCTGCTATCTAACCTGTTGCTTTCCTTTCTGCACTCCCAGTGCTCCAAGCCAGCCTTGCCCTGACTGCTTTGCTTTCTGCACTCCCAGTGCTCCAAGCCAGCCTTGCCCTGACTGCTTCCTTTCTGCACTCCCAGTGCTCCAAGCCAGTCTTGCCCTGACTGCTTCCTTTCTGCACTCCAAGTGCCTAGTCTTCTTGACTATATGGAGAGAACAGCCTCTCTCTCCTACCTGCTTCCTGGGAGGAAGCCAGCAATCCCTCTCCTTTTCCTGCCTAGCCGGGAGGAGTTTATTCCCACTGCAACAGCTGATTACCTGCAGCTGAGCAGTGGGTTGGAGACAGTCCAAAAAACCCTGGCCTGGATCTAGGTCTCCCCAGAACACCACTAAACTGTGGAGTGGAGCATTGGCCCACCCTTCTCTCCAAGTGCTCCACCCCAGGGGCCCATAACTAAACAATGCGTTGTGTTGTGCAAAACACAAACTACACATACTCCCCCTGGGGTTAAAAGGCCTATCTGCCTTCACTTTATCACAGTATGAAAAAACATGAGTAAATAAGTAAAATATATTCTGTACAGTCCTCTTTCTATCTCATGTTACCATTGCAAGTGAAAATACTTGATTAAAGCGATGGTCAGTTCTAAGCATAGCAAAACTAAATTGCCCAGCAACACCAAAACTGCAATCATAATGACAAAGAGCTCCAGAAAATCCATGTACCTAAGTAGCTCTGAACCATCCCATTACTGTAGCCACTCTTGCAAATAATACTTACCTTAAAAGGATGCACTAATGACCACAGAACCCATTTGTGAGCAACTGCTACACATTAGAGTTCGTCGATCCATTGTACTAGTAAAGTATTCTGACACATATCTGCCTTAGGTGGCCTTGTCACATGCAATTTTCAGGAGGTAAAGCCTCCAGTTGGGATATGGCCACGCTACAAGAGAAGGGAATGCAGATTTCTGGAGTGTGAAACTCAACCATTATCTCTTCTCAATTCAGGAGCATCTTGAAAATGCCACCACTGATCAGAGACCAGGGGGAGACATTCAGGTGTACCAGGAACCAGAGTAGCGAGACCTTGGTACCTGGTCCTCCACAAAGACATCTGACCTATACTAAGCTCTGCCTGAGGCCTGGTATTTGTTTTTTTTGCCCTCCCCCCTCTTCCTTCTGGATCTTTGTTACAATGCTGACCGATTTCCTGGACTCTGACCTCTGCCTACCTTACCGACTACAATACTCCACTGCCAGCCCTGACTTCTTCTCATCTGACCCTGCCTTTGGATTACCCCTTTATCTGTACTGCACTTTGGTTTTTGCCTCCTCCTTGTGCCATATCCTGCACCTGGGCTCCAACTCCTGGTAAATTGTGACAGCAACACAGGCATGCGGGGATGACCTATTACCTTCTCCAGCATAGAAAATAGAGAGGTCACCACATGAGCCTGCAGTTGGGCCAGCAAGTAATCCAGAGGTACAGGGGGAACTCACCCAGGATAGACACGGTGTAAAAAAAGTACTCTTTCAGAGCAAACACTACAGATGCACAAGGACTGTGAGGAATGACTTTCCTGCTCTCCTGCACCACTGGAAAAAGGATAAGCCTTTTCATAGACTCATTAAGTAAATTTTGTAAGTATACTGCTAATCAGAGAAGGGATTACACATTTGACGAATGTGCATAGACCTGCAGTCATGTACCGCTTTCCTAAAAAGTCCAACATTCTTGAACGATGAGAATTAAAATATGGATTGCATATTGCTTGACAGAGAATGATTTAAATTGTAGTCCATCGACATGACCAAGAGCGTCCATCTCAACTGAATGTTCCTCTAAGCACAGATAAAATATTCATTGCTTACTGAATCAATCATTCTATCTTTACTGAAACTATAATTTATTTTATAAGCATTATCCATGCTACATAAAACCTCATTCTTTAATTCATTGTGTTTATTTTATTGTGAAGAGCAGTGTTATTGTTTTAACTATATAAGGACATTTTTGGTTTGTGTTATAAAAGATCTGAAAAACACCAGATTGAATATATAAATAATGATTTGCAAAGCAATGGTGTGTTTGGCAGAAATCTCTGAACTTCACCTCTTTCAAATTTCAAATGAAATAACAGAGAAGGATTTAATTCATTTTTATTGAAAGATACATTTAATTTTCTAATGAAAAGTCTTGCAGTTATCTTTTTTTTATATATAATTATTTGCTATTTTTTGGGGGGAAGTTATAAACTGAACAAGACTACAGGCTGATGGTGGGAAACACAAACCACATACTACAAACATACAAAATATAAAAATAGCCAGATAGTTAACTTATGTATTTAAAATTACAAATTACTGGGGGGCGAGCCTGACCTCCGAGCAGTGCAGACGTGGGCAGCAAGAGCTCCCGCCTAACGCGTGGATTTTGGGTTACAATTTGTGGCTCACAGGCTAAAATACTTACCACGGTGCACTGGCCACTTCAGGGGTGCACTGCTGAATCAACTGACATCTCACTTGAGTCCGCCGCGGCCGGGAGAGCTCAACGTTGAACTGCGAACTACTGGAGCAAGGGAGAGGCGGCTGCTCTTCCCCACACTAGACTCACCAAGCAACTCAGTCAGACTCCTACCCCCCCACTTCCCTTTGGACCGGTGGGGGTCATCCCGGTGTGCACGACCCGGGGTAAAACGCTTACAGGAACCAAGCAATAGGGCCACATGCTCCAAGTCAAAATGGCGGCTTCACGGAGTCCAGATGGCGGGATCCCCATGAGGACCGCATAGCGAAAGCTATGGGCACAATTGTGGGCCAAATTGGCACAGACCCGAGCAGCCACAGAAGTCTCTCAACGGCCCAATGCTCCACTTACACCAAAATCAGCTCCAAAGAGAACCGTCAAATCACTGACCGCGATAAAGCTGGAGAGGAGGGTGAAGAGAACACCCGACCCATGGGACGCAGACCCAACATCAGTTACCGCCTGTTTGGGCCTCGGCAAAACCGGAGATCTCCCACACACAGCTCTAAGCATCTGAAGCCATACCAGCTCACTTGGAGGGTTCCCGCTAGGCAAGACCACTGGCATGCACATGGACGAACCGGGAGGCTTGCACCAGAGGCAGACGGCAGCCGACATTGTGCAGCCACGACATAGAGGAATCCCATTACACGGAATGCCTCTAACTATTCCCTGACCTACATCGAATGCCTGCCAACATCTGGTATCTAGTGAATCTGGTATCATTTGCACCATGATGACATAATAGGACTGATCAGATACTACACCTAATAATCCTGACTCTGCATTAATAGTTAATGGGTTTTTAAGACCTGCTGTCCCTTCTCTCCCTCCACAACCCCACAATGCTCAAAACGCTTGCCTACCCTCGCCTGATTACCCAGTCCCAGGGGAAAAGTCTGACTCGTGTGTGCATCACCATATTGTAGTACATCATATATTCATTTAGAGTTACTTAGTTTAATCTGCACTATGTATGACTCACTTGTTTATCTTTTCACTATTATTATCTCATACTCCTTGCTCTTTAACATTGGTTACTCTTACACACTTAAGAATTACTACATGTTTAATGTCTCAAGCTTGACGATCTCAACGTGACCTAGCACATTAGACATACTTATTTAGCCTGTTTTTAGCTTGTATTATACATTTTAAAAAAGTGTGCCTTTTCTCTGATTGCCATGCAAATGTTCTATGTTTGTTTTTGAACTGCCTGTAACTGCTCTCGTGGCAGGGCAAGCCTGTTTCTGTTGTATCATGCACAGCCAAAATAATAATAATAATAAAAAAAATTACAAATTGCTATACAAGGTTACAATCTAACGTTTAACGTTTAACGTTTAACGTGTAATACGTGTAATATTTTATATTCATTATTAATAGAAAATGATGCAATTTTTCTTTTAACAATCCCATCTCTCAGTTGGAGATTCCTACCAACTATGTTGTTCAGAACAGTCTTTTTACCTTGCTGCTATCATTCCCAACCTCATGGTAGATTGTAAGCTTGCCAGATAATGTATCTTATCTACACAGACTGATTTCAAACAACATGTACTGTATGTCAAAGACACATTACTGTGAGTATTATTGCTGATAAGCTCTTTTAGACTCACCAACAATATGGAGCTCCTACAAAAAGAGGTGCACATGTACTCTCAGTAAGGGTGGTGGGACTAAGCATCCGTGGGTCCTGATATTATAAGTATTGTAATTATAGTATCCTCCATCACATCGGTAGCAGTGTTCATTTTGGCCGCAAATTTCAATTCAGTTTTAGTCTGTCTTTTGACTAAAATGCCATTTTAGTTTTAGTCATATTTTAGTCATCTGAATTGTTTTAGTTTTAGTCTACTAAATCTCCAGTAGATTTTAGTCGACACAACTGAAATCTAATGCGCTTAGTTAAAGCCTCTGTCTCTTTTACCCCTTCCCCAGCTCCTCTGTATCTCTTTGTGTCCTCACAGACCCTGTCCTCCCAGTCCCGGGTCTGTCTCTTTTGCCTCTTCCACAGACCCCCTGTGCAGTGTTAATTTTTTGGCAGAAAATGTCAATTTAGTTTTAGTCATAGTCTTTTGACTAAAAAGCCAGTTTAGTTTTAGTCGTGTTTTTGTCATCTGACTTGTTTTAATTTTTATCTAGTTTTAGTCGACTAAAATTTGACTTAAATTGTTAGATGACAAAATTAACACTGATCGGTAGGACATGGAGAAAAGATTAGGACCTTTCATTAGGTCCCCACACATTTTTTCTTTCCAGTAGATGTATATATGTTATAACGTTCTTTTTTCACCAACCAAAATGATGTAGAAGAGGGTTACACACCTTCTAATCTAGTTGCAATTGAAGTGGAACGCAGATGAAACGCAGGTGGAACGCATTTGGAATGCAGAAGTATTGAACCACATTCACTTCTGGTTCCAGTTCACTTGAACGGGCCAATCTTGATTGGAATGAAGCTACAGAGATGGTGAACAGCTGAGGAGATTTCGCCCTGAACCAATGAGGTCACAGAAGGTCGGAACCAAACCTCTGTTGCCTGTCATTTAGCCACTGCCTACCCCATTCTACAATATTGTAATCCAAACTTAAAGATTGCAGTTTATTGATAAGCCTTCTATGTGGAACAGTGTGAAAAGCCTTACTGAAAGCTAGGTAAGCAATGTCTACTGCACCACCCTGATCTATTATTTTAGTTACCCAATCAAAAAAATCAATTAGATTAGTTTGGTATGCTATCCCTGAAGTAAACTCATGTTGTCTCTGACCTTGAAATCCTTTAACATGGTTTCCATCACTTTCCCAACTACTGAAGTAAGGCTTACTGGCCTATAGTTGTCTGACTCCTCCCTACTACCTTTCTTGTGAATGGGTACAACAGTCGCTAATTTCCAATCTTCTGGGACTACTCCTGTTGACACTGACTGAAATAAATCCGTTAATGGTTTTGCTAGTACACCACTAAGTTCTTTTAATATCTTTGGGTATATCGCATCAGGCCCTATTGACTTATTTGTCTTGACTTTTGACAGCTGAAATAGAACCTCTTCCTCTGTAAACTCACATGTAACAAAAGACTCATTTGTCCCTTTTCCTAACTGAGGCCCCTTTCCTTCATTTTCATCTGTAAATACTGAACAAAAATATTCATTGAGGCAATCAGCTAGACCCGTATCCTCTTCTACATATATTCCTTCTTTTGTTTTTAATCTAACTAATCCTTGTTTTACTTTTCATTTCTCATTTATGTATCTAAAAAATGTTTTGTCCCCTTTTTAACTGACTGTGCTATTTTCTCTTCTGTGTGTGCTTTGGAGGCTTTTATAACTTGCTTAGCCTCTTTCTGTCTAATCTTATAGATCTGTCTGTCTTCCTCACTCTGTTTTCTTTTATAATTACTAAATGCTAACTTTGTTTTTTTGGCCACATCTGCGGAGTAGCACAGTGGTTTCTTAAATTTTTTGCTTTTACTGACAACCAATTAAACCAACCAATCAGAGCACTCTGAGTGAAATTGCAGGGCATGGAAAGGCTTGTCTGTGCGGTGCCTTCGCTGGGTTATCTTTTCAGTGTCGGGATTGTTTTTTTCAGTGTATATATTTTTTTTTTGCTTTTTTTTATTTTGTTTGTTTATTTTAGTTCGATGGGTATTATGGATTTTTACTTGGCCTTTTTGGGGGCTGAAAAAAGGAGGTTTTAGAAAAAAGAAGACTTTAAATGGTAAGTATATATTTATGTACAGGTATTTAGTTTTATTGTTTTCCCCTCACTATTTTTGGGGTGAGGGAGGTAGGTAGGGCTTTATTAAATTTGTTGAGTGGGGGGTGACTAAGGACTTGGGTTGGGGCCGGAAGGGAGGATCATAGATTCCCCCCATTGTCATTTAGGGCCCCCACCTGCCGCTCTTGTTGGGGGCTGAGGGGTGGACAATAGGTTCCCCCCATTTTCATTTAAGGGCCCCCACTTGCTGCTCATGGGTGGGACCATGAGGAACCCTGTCCCTGTTTAGTTGCATAGCTCCCACTCGCGGGGCTCGGGGCGACACTATGTCACAGGCTGCTCACTGTTTAGTAGACATGCCCCTAATCGTGGTATAGCGAGTAGGGGCATTTTGGAGATTTCAATCTCCCTTATGCTATTGTGGGGGTCATATTGACATGGAGTGCTTAGGAAGTGGCAGGAAACACAGCTCCCTGTCGCTTCTATTTTTACGTATTACAAGGATGTAGCTGCGAGTCCGTAGCTCCATCCATGTGATAAACTGAACGAACAAACAAAACAACAATATTCGATGTTTGTTTGTTCGTCTGAAATGTCTATTCATTCCTTTGTCTTTCTGCAGAATGAATGGACGACATTCCCGTCGGAATTTAACTGGGTGTGCGCGGGAATTTCATAGTGCTATCTATGGTGGGCAGATGACGTGTCCTACAGGTACTTCATCTGCCCACACAAAAATGTCAGCACCCAGGACCTAGGTACGGGCACAAAATAAGGCTAAAAATATTTAATATGGGGGCTTAGCGGCATTTGGAGGTGACTAGGGTGGGAATTAGATGAATAGGAGTCGGGAGGGGGGGTTAAAAAAAACTTGGATTTGGCAATGACAGTGCCGCTTTAAAAGGGAAAGAAACAATTAAAATAAAGGATATATCATAAAAACAAATAAATGTAAATTCATGACTAGTATTGGAGGGATTTCATGATTCCTAAAATGAAATAAAAAAATAAGTATATACAATGCACACAACATTAAACTCATTCTTAAATACATAAAACCATATGTGAAAAAAACTGTTATTTTTTTTTTTACTTGTGTACCCCTTGGCAGCCTTTTTCCATAAATTGTACCCCATATATTAGCAAAATGTTTGTAATTCATTTAGTTGCTGTTATTTCAAATTGATATGTTTTTTCTCTGCTCCTCCTCTGCCTCAGACTCCCCCTGCGCGTCTCATTTGCCTCAGGTGTATGCCACACTGACATACATGCAGATGCACAAACACACAAACTGAGACACATGCAGAGACACAGAAGCAAACACTGACACTCATGCAGATGCATAGACACACAGATACAAACACTGACACACAAAGTTGCACAGACACAGTTACACACTGACACACATACAGATACAAACACTGACACACATACAGATGTACAGACACACCGATACAAACACTACCACAGATGCAGATACACCGATGCAAACAATAACACATATGCAGATACATATACATACTGATGCACTGACACAGATACAAGCTCTACATACATACAGATACAGACACCCAAAACACACATACAAGGGAAACATTTTGCCACCCTACTGTTTCCTACCTTATGGAAGCAGATGGTTGACTTAATCTGGCTGGAGCTGTTGGGAGTTAGGGGCTTGCACTCTCTCCTGGTCTGCACACCCTTCTTTGTGTTCTGTCTGATTTAGTGACCATCAGGAATTTGGGAGGAGGAGAAAGAGCCAAGGGAGCCACATGTGTAGAAGAGGGTTAAGCGGTAGTTGGTGGGAGGTAGAGTTATGGAGGCAGGGGCGGAGCTATACAGTGCAGGCTGAGTGATGCCGACAAGGGGGTGGCATTCACATATTGTTGGCGTGTGAGGGCAGGCACTAGCAGCTCACGGAACGTCCCTCCTGTGTGGCTGGGTGTGAGTGAGCTGAGAGGAAGTGACCGTCTCTCTCTCACTTCCTCCCAGCAGAGAAGTAGGGGCCTGGTCATGCTGTTAAAGCACCACAGCGCACGGCCGGTCCCCTCATGGCACATGTCAATCAAGTGGCCCTAAGTGCATGGGCCACCCGATGGACCTTCAACCTGCGGTTTCCAACCTGTGCAGTGCTAAAACCGCCATTACCAAATATTTTTCACGTACCCCTGGGTGTATGCGTACCATAAGTTGGGAAACCTTGCCTTAAAACACCAAAAACACTCTTTAATAAGCTTAACACGTTTGGACCTAAATATATAATGTCATTTCAAAATCTGCATTCAATCCAAAAGGTGTTAAAGACTCTAGTTCAAATATCCACTTCATATTTAAAGTGTATAGTATCTAATGTTTACACCAACTTTATTGCAAATTCTGTTTAATTTTGAATTTCTTATCTCCTTCTCTGTTACTAGCTTCCTATCCCCTGCAGGAGTCTCTAGTATGTAATTAAAGTTCAATTTACAGAGCAGGAGTTACAAACATGTAAAGTTAGTTACATCTAATTGAAAGTGAAACCGTTTTGGTTTCATGCAGGCTGTGTCAGTCTGGGCTGAATAGGCAGAAACAAAAGGGATTTAACTCCTAAACGGCTGTGAATTGAGCAGTGAAATTTCAGAGGCGTGTTCTATACACCAAAACTGTTTCATTAAGCTAAAGTTGTTTTGGTGACTATAGTGTCCCTTTTAAAGCCGTGTCTTTATCACCTCCAGTGTATTTTAATTTTTTCAACTGCAAAAAAAATCAAACCACTGGGATCACCATTATGGACTTTAGAGAAATGCTTGGAAACACAATGGTTTAAAAATATATATTTTTAATATTATTAATGGGACACTCCAGACACCCAGACTACACCTGCCCATTGTAATGGTCTGGGTGCCAACTCCCACTACCCTTAACCTTGCAAGTGTAATTAGTGCAGTTTTTCATAAACTGCACTAATTGCCTAACAGGGTTAAGTCCTCCTCTAGCGGCTATCTAAGAGACAGCCACTAGAGGAGCTTCCGGGTTCTTAAAACACTTTTAGTTGCTGAACGTCCTCACGCAATGCATGAGGACCTCCAGCGTCGCCAGAATCCCCATAGGAAAGCATTGAATAATGCTTTCCTAAGGGGGAGTGTAATGCGCATGCGGCAATTGCCGCGCATGCACATTAGGTCTCCCCCGCCGGCTGACGTTGGCGGGGGAGGAGAGTTGGCTAAGCCTGACCCAGTGCCGAGGGATACAGGTAAGTCACTGAAGGAGTTTTAACCCCCTTAGCAACCTGGGATTGGAGGTGGGAGGGAGAGGGGTTTTGCAGTGCCAGGAAATGGTTTGTTTTCCTGGCACTGGAAAGTCCATTTAATATGTTCCCTAATACGTATCTTTATGAGCCAGGATGTTTTGCCAGCGTATTGGTACCCGCAAGGACATGCTATTCTATAAATAAAGTTTTCCATGTTACAAGAAATGAAAAAAATATATTTTATATCTCTTTTGGGACATGTGGGAACTAAAATCTTGAATTCCTTTTTGTTGCCATTCTTTAACTTACATCCTACGCATATTTTTTCTCTATAAAACATCTGGTTCTGGTTAATACTTGCTTTACATTCTTTGCTCCCCTAAAAATTAATTTAGCTTTTTCTCTTACGTATGTATTAATATCTTGATCCTGCTCTTATGGCATGCCAATACTTCCTAATCATTTTCTGTAAAACCTTATTATTAGAACTAAAATTAGAAATGAGTGGCATTTCTACTTGTTCTTCTTTTTGATCTTTGTTTACTTTTATTTTATATTCTAAGAGTGGTTTTCTACTCTCGTCATTACTATTTCCACTTATTTTGTCCAGGGAATTTCACTTTTAAAACTTTGGCCTGTTTCTCATACTCCTTAATCTCTGTAGAGTTCCTCCTAATTCTTAGGAACTGTTCTTTTGGTATGTTCTCCAACCAAAGTTTAAATGTCAACGTTTTAAATTAATAAAAGTAGGACCTTTTTTAAACAAGTAAATGTAAATAGGTGAAGGGATGAAGTGGCAGAGGGATACTTTAGTGTTACGAATACATCTTTGTATTCCTAACACTAAAGTGTTCCTTTAAACTCTTGTCTGAGTTGCTCAGCCTAGTAAATCACCAAACAGGCAGTCACATGGTGCTTGGTGAACTTTTGAGAAGTACATAAAATGCAAGCTCAGCTAAATCTCAAAAGTGCATTAATCTAAAACCTAACAAAAATGTTGCCACCAACCAACAATAAATTCCTTCTCAAAACATAGAAAACAAAAACAATAAAAAGAAATTAAACCCATTTCAGTACACAATTATGTGAAGAAAAGTATGAGGAAAAAAAAAAAAAATATATATATACATACATACACCAACACTCTAGTGCCAACAGGATGCTAGTCTAGTGGAGCTACTGATGGCTTACAAGACCTCAAGCAAAAACAACCTTATTGAATCAGCTAATGAACACAATAAAATAAAGTAAATTGTGTGTAGTCTTCATATCTCCTCAGGAGCTTAATTCAAATAGTTCCGTGTTTACCTTTGATCATCAATCATCATTATCATATTTTTAATGATGTACCTCCTGGATTTCCATCCATAGTGTCAATATAAATTATCTTTCTTTTATGATGTGTATAATCACGTCATAATGTGTAAATGATGTGTATAATCACGCTCATAACATCCGGTAATTTGTAGGAATGACCATGATTACTAAAAAGGCAACACAGAGGTTCCGAAAAGGAGACCATCTACCTCACAGTTACCCTATAAAACTGGTCTCTGGTGGTCTCCGTTTAAGGTTAACATTACTTCTGAAACAGAAGTTTTTCCAATAACTTAGCTGATTGTGGGCACTCATAAATAGATGGTAGATTTAAACCGTTTTAAGTGATCTTTGCCCATAATGAAAAGTTGATTTACAACATAATTACATTTAAACAAATCAAAACAAGTTTACATTGATAAAAAATATCAGACTAGATTACTTGGTAACTTATAGTTTACTTTTGAATAAAATCTCAGAAGGCCAACATGAGCTTGTGCTGCTGCATTAAGGTTGGACAGTTCCTCTCTTTTTGATTTAAAAAGATCTCTTGTGATACATTTGATATATCTTCATTTATAAGAGCTAATGCACAAAAAATAGGAAATCCCAATAAATTAAATGCAAATTGCATATTCTTTCGATTATAAATGTATATAACAACTTTAATATAAGAAAATATATATTTAGACCCTTCTATTGTCATAAGATCATCCATATGTACTGATTCACAACAAATTCTCTGCCAGGACAAATACCAATCTTAAACTAATTTTCAATGAAGTCTATAGGACTAGTAAAAGAGAGAGGGAAATAGTTTTTTTTTTTTTGTTTAAGTAGATTTTTTTTTTAATTTGTATATTTTAGTAGATACTCTTATAGGAACAAAAATATTCAATATAGTATTTAAAAAAAAGATAAAAAAAAAAGTTTAACTCTCGAGTACCCAAAGTGTCTTGCGTGAGAAGAGGGTGCTTTGAACTGGCGTAACTGCTCTCCAGACTGACTGAATGCAGCTCTGGTTGTTTTATTGCTTGTTACCCCACTCAGGGTTTCCTATGGAGAAGATGTGTGCCATGTGCTCCGTGCCCTGAGGATAATCGGTCTAGAATGAGCATGTCTACGGATATACTCAAACTGCACGGATGGAGGATATCTTCCTTATATCCCTCTAATTCAGGACATTCGGACAGAATCCCAAATTCAGGAAAGTTTCATCAAACCAGGAAGAATTGATGGTTGTATAATCGGGATGGAAGTGAGAGCAGCCCCCATTTTTGCAAAAAGCTTGGCACACACCTTGTATAAGAGAAAAATATTCCTTAAAGGGATCCTATAGTGCCAGGAAAACAAATCTGTTTTCTTGGCACTATAGGCTCTTGGAGTGCCCCCCTCCATTGGGATCCCCCTCCCCCGGCGCTGAGGGGGATAAAACTTACCTCTAAATATATATATATATATATATATGTGTGTGTGTGATGCAAGAAGAAACCAGTTGTTGTTTTAAAACAATACAGTATTACAAGGCATCCTAAAAAAATCCTACTTAATGAAAATTCATTTTGTGTAACAAATTTAGCAAAGTTTTCCGTTTTGATCTGTGAGATACTTACTTTCTCACAGCAAGATCTAGAATAGAATGCCAAATAAGATTCTATTCAACGAAAGGCCCTAAAACTTCCCAATTATAACATCTTGCATGCACCATACTGTTATTCCTTATGCTGGTTAATATTCTATGTTTGAAGCAGATCAAAGTTTCACTAGGCGTGCTGCTCTCTGAGTGTTGTTGACTAGTGTCTCACTGTGATATTTTTAATTGGCCAGCATGAGAATTCTTCATTAGCAGATATCACCGGATGTCCATTATTGGAAGCTTGACTTGTACTCAGAGGCATACATCCATTTTGCATTAAAAGTTTATTTTATAGCATAGAGGACATTCACTATGAATACTTGATCCACTTATCGTTTAAGGTCATGCCGATAGGTCCAGGACGACTCAAAGGGAACTAACCACCTATGGGTTTTTCATAAATACACACTGCTTTATTAATCACTACTTTTATTATTTACTTTTTATTTTGCTTTCCATCAAAGGAGAAACTTTTTCTTAAGAATTAATTTGTCAAAGTTTTCACAAGGCTCAGCAAGCCTTTCATCCTTGAAATCTTTCCTATATATAAACCACATACAATTTTATGGCAGGGGTAGAGGCCTGTATATAATAAATGTAGTTGATTGGGAAGACAATAATGAATTGATAATTAACCCTTTGTCAAGGTAAATATATACAGTGAAGGAAAACAGTATTTGATCCTCTACTGATTTTGAATGTTTGTCCACTGATCAGTCTATAATTTTATTGGTAGGTGTATTTTAACACTGAGAGGCAGAATAACAAAGAAAAATACAGAAAAAGGAATGCTAAAAAAGTAATAAATTAATTTGCACGTCAATGAGTGAAATAAGTATTTGATCCCCTATCATTCAGCAAGAGTTCCAGGTGTCTTTTTTATACAAGTAACACGCTGAGATTAGAAGCACTCTCTTACAGGGAGTGCTCCTAATCTCAGATTGTTACCTGTATAAAAGACACCTGTCCACAGAAGCAATCAATCAGATTCCAAACTCTCCACCCTGGCCAAGACCAAAGAGCTGTCCAAGGATGTCAGGGACAAGATTGTAGACCTACACAAGGCTGGAATGGGCTACAAGACCATCGCTAAGCTTGGAGAATGCTGGTGCGATTGGAGAATGCTTATGGTGCGATTATTCGCAAATGGAAGAAACACAAAATAACTGTCAGTCTCCATCGGTCTGGTTCTCAATGCAAGAGCTCACCTCTTGGAGTTTCAATGATCATGAGAATGGTGAGGAATCAGCCTAGAACTACTCGGGAGAATCTTGTTTAATGATCTCAAGGCAGTTGAGACCATAGTCACCAAGAAAACAATTAGTAACACACTACACCGTGAAGGACAGAAATCCCGCAATGCCCGCAAGGTCACCCTGATCAAGAAAGCATGTACAGGCCCATCTGAAGTTTGCCAGTGAACATCTGAATGATTCAGAGAATAACTTGGTGAAAGTGTTGTGGTCAGATGAGACCAAAATCGAGCTCTTTGGCATCAATTCAACTCACCGTGTTTGGAGGAGGAGGAATGCTGCCTATGACCCCAAGAACACCATCCCCACCGTCAAAGATGGAGGTGGAAACATTATGCTTTGGGGGGGAGGAGTTCTGCTAAGGGGACAGAACAACGGCACAGCGTCAATTGGACGATGGACAGGACAATGTACAATCAAATCTTGGGTGAGAACCTCCTTCCCTCAGCCAGGACATTGGAAATGGGTCGTGGATGGGTATTCCAGCATGACAGTGACTCCAAACACACAGCCAATGCGACAAAGGAGTGGCTCAAGAAGAAACACATTAAGGTCCTGGAATGGCCTAGCAAGTCTCCAGACCTTAGTCCCATAGAAAATCTGTGGAGGGAGCTGAAGGTTTGAGTTGCCAAACATCAGCCTCAAAACCTTAATGATTTGGAGTGGGACAAAATCCCTCCTGAGATGTGTGCAAACCTGGTGGCCAACTACAAGAAACCTCTGTCATTGCCAACAAGGGTTTTGCCACCAAGTACTAAGTTGAAGGGGTCAAATACACCTACTATTAAAATTATAGACTGATCATTTGTTTGTCAGTGGGAAAATGTTCAAAATCAGCAGAAGATCAAATACTTTTTCCCTCACTGTAGTTAGCTAATTTTATTTGTGTTAAAAAATATCTTTGTCACATCATTTGTGTGTACATCTTGTGATAAGGCTCCTGTGGCAAAGGTCACACCAGGCACCAAAATGTATTTCTTCTATTTGTGAAACACAAGTTCTAGAAAACTCAAAACACACTTCTACTTTAAGACAACCAAATATACATGACAACAAATAATTACTCCTCTTCAGGAGTCTAACAGAATTATCCACTGTCACTTGGTATTGACAAAATAGCCGTTACTTTACTTCATTGTACTTTAGTTTATCTTACTTCATTAACTTAGCTGTTTAGTTAAGCATGTGTTCACTCTTATTAAATCTAAAAATGTGCACTGTTTATCCATGCCATACAACTGTCTTTCTATGATTATGGAAACTCTGGCATACGCTGTTGTGGCATTGCTGGCGTAGCTGTAATTTGTCTAATCTATGCACGACAAAATAAAGAATTAAAAAAAAAAGAAAAGAAAATAATTATCCACTATCCAACAGAACAGTTGTGATAGCAGAAAAATATTAATCGTAGCAGGAAAAAGTGACCACTCTAACCTCCTGCTAACATACACTCCCTCTCTTACCCTGTCACAGTCTCTAAATAAAGTGTAAGATTAAAACAGGAAATAAAATTGTATTATGTAATCTATAAATTTGCCGGCTGGGAATGCCACGTTCCTGAGGATTTCTATATATTATTCACTTTCTAACATTTATCAATGATGGCAGATCCAGCTAGCATCAAGTTAATGTCCCCAGATGCAGCATTCATGTAAAATAAGAAAATCCTGAGGAATATTAGACAACCACATGTTCCATACAAAAAAGGAGACCCAATTTGCCTACTTTTTAAATTGGGGTCTGCCTTTCTCCGGGATATCAGAGCGAGGGTCATATCTAATTTAGTCTGGTTAAAATGCTTGCGAGTACTAAATGAGGTTGTAGCGGAGAGGCAGTATGATCCACGATATCTCCGCTGGGTAACAGGAACAACAAGGATAATCCAGGGAATCAGCATCTAATAATCCAAACAGCACTGCAGTAACCCTTCCTTCCCAAGAACTAGACGACACATAGGCTGGGAGTCAACTGAGGTTTTAATCACAGGTCACAGTATTTATGCAATTCCCCATGCAAGGGGTTTCCAAACAGACATTACAGGGGTTGTACAGGAGGGGACTACATGGGGGACTTACAGTACTACATATTTCTCCCATCAGGCACCGCTGCACGAGAGGGATCATCCTCCCAGAATGCACCGTTAAGGGGATTATCCCCTCGTGCAGCAGAACCGGCAATTCACACAAAAATCCACAGCTGGTACAATATACGGTGGATTTACACGAATGGACGTTCGGTAGATAGCTGGGGTCTGGGCGCATCATTCGTGAGATTGCCGCTCAGATCCCAGCTAAAATAACCGAACGCCGCACAGAAAACACCTTTCTTTCAAAACACATGAAAAGAACCGATTGTCTTTAGTGAACCTGGTCCTGAAACTCCCGAACGTCCTGGAGGCTTAACGGTGTTCGTGCCGTCGAATAACTGTTGGGAATGCTATGCGTTCGACGACACGGACCCGCTGACGAACCAGGGATCCAAGATGGCCGCCCGCCGCATGGTCGGTAGTCGAACGACGGCCACCCAGGAGAGCCTCTAATAACCGATTGCAACAATGTTGCAATCGGTTAACTAGCGCCACACGCCTCTAAGTGTGTGGGCTATTAGGGGGTATCGCATTCGTTTCACGAACGGCCCTCCAAAGTGCCGTTCGCGAAACGAACGGGAATCCCCATACAAACCGCCATTTGCATTCGGCGGAACAGATAGGTACAGGCAATGCAGGGAATACATGAAGTAGGCACATACAGGTACAATGCATCTCTCTCCAGACCTATAGGCAACCCTTAAAGGCATAGTGTCCAGTTATAGTCCGAGTGGCTAGGTTTGCCACAATGCTCCCCCAGAACCAAGCCGGCATACACAGTCTGATCCCAACGGATCGGCTTGGGGATGTCCGGAGGAGTACTCACGAATCACGGCTCCAAGTCTGTTTGTCTAGACAACCCGTCGGCGTTGCCATTCTGCTTCCCAGGGCGGTAGTGGATAGTAAAGTCAAAAGGCTGCAGCGCCAAACTCCAGCGCAGCAGCCTGGCATTGTCTCCGGACACCCTGTTCAGCCACACCAACGGGTTGTGATCCGTGAGTAAAGTGAAGGGTTGCCCGTATAAGTAGGGTTGCAACTTCTTGAGGGCCCACACCACAGCCAGGCACTCCTTTTCAATGGCGGCGTAGCTTACTTCCCTGGGTAAAAGTTTTCGGCTTAGGTAAGCTACGGGGTGCTCGCCGCCATCGGGTCCAACTTGGCTCAGTACTGCTCCCAATCCAAACATAGAAGCGTCTGTGTGGACGAGAAAGCGTTTAGTTGGATCAGGAGCAGAAAGTACAGGAGAGTTAACAAGCGCCGTCTTGAGCTGTTGGAACGCCTGCTCACACTCTGGGGCCCAGACTACTAACTTAGGGAGGTTCTTGCGGGTCAGGTCTGTGAGGGGTTTGGCGAGGGCGCTATAGTTGGCCACAAACTTCCGGTAGTACCCGGCGGTCCCTAAAAAGGCGAGCACTTGGGTCTTGGTGCGAGGGGTAGGCCATTGGGCGACTGCCTCTATTTTAGCAGGTTCGGGTTTCTGTTGCCCACTCCCTACCCGGTGTCCCAGATACTGGACTTCCGCCATACCGATATGGCATTTGCTGGGTTTTAGGGTCAGTCCGGCCTCTCGGATTCGGTCTAGAATGGCTCCTATGTGAACCAGATGTTCGTGCCAGGAGTGGCTGAATATGGCGATATCATCTAGATACGCGCAGGCTTACTCCTGGAACCCATCTAACAGTCTGTCCACCATTCTCTGGAAGGTAGCTGGAGCATTTTTCATCCCGAATGGCATAACCTTAAACTGATACAGGCCAAACGGGGTGACAAAAGCCGACTTAGGGATGGCGTCGTCCGCTAAGGGAATCTGCCAGTACCCTTTGCACAAGTCTATAGTGGTTAGGTATTGACCCCTGGCCATCTTGTCGAGGAGTTCGTCTATTCGGGGCATGGGATATGCGTCAGAGGTCGTTTTATCGTTGAGCCGTCGGTAGTCTACGCAGAAACGGGTCGTCCCGTCCCGTTTCGGCACCAGTACTACCGGGGAGGCCCAGGGGCTGTCCGAGTGCTCTATTACTCCTAGCTGAATCATCTCCTCAATTTCCTTGCGCATATTCTCCTTGACTGCTTCTGGAGTGCGGTAGGGGGGTTGGCGCAAGGGGGTCGAATCTAACGTTTCTACCTTATGGGTAGCCAACGGGTATAGCCGGGTAAATTGGAAAACGTGGCCTTCTTTTCCCGAAGCAACTTTTGTACCTGGGCCCGTTCTTGGGTATTTAATCTTTCTCCTAACTGTACCTCTCCCAGATCTCCGCTCTGGCCCGCTTGGTCTAGGAGATCGGGTAGGGGTAGGTTATCAAAATCTTCCGTGGCAGGGGCACAGATTGCGGTGACTTCCTCAGTCCGTTCGTGGTATGGCTTGAGCATGTTCACATGGAGCATGCGTTTGCCTCCCACGCCGGTAACCGGGCCGATCACATAGGTGGTGTCACAGATCTGTTCCACCACCTTGTATGGGCCCTGCCAGGAAGCCTGCAGCTTATCTTTGTGGACGGGTCGCAGGATTAGGACTTTCTGCCCCACCTGAAAGCTGCGGTCCCTGGCTCCCTTATCATACCATCGGCGCTGTCGTTGTTGCGCTACCTGGAGATTGTCTCGGACGGTCTGGGTTAGCCTCTCCAGGCGTTCCCGGAACTCGAGCACATATGGTAAGATAGGGGTGCCATTAACGGTTTCGTCTCCCTCCCAGTGTTCCCGTATCAAGTCAAGAGGTCCCCTCACTCTCCTCCCGAATAATAATTCGAACGGAGAGAATCCGGTGGATTCTTGCGGCACTTCTCGATACGCGAACAGTAGGTGGGGTAAGAACCGCTCCCAGTCCTTTTGGGTGTCCATGAACGTGCGGATCATTTGTTTCAGGGTTCCGTTAAATCGTTCACAGAGCCCATTGGACTGGGGGTGATATGGGGAGTTGAGGATTTGTTGTATCCCACATATTTTCCAGAGCTGATGGGTCACTTCCGCAGTAAACTGGGTGCCTCTATCGGAGATAATCTCCCGGGGAAATCCTACCCGGGTGAATATCCTCATCAGGGCCTCGGCTACCGTTTCTGCGTGTACGTTCGTTAGGGCCACTGCCTCGGGGTACCGGGTGGCGTAGTCCACCACAGTTAGGACATACTTCTTGCCGGAGGGGCTGGGTTTTGCGAGGGGACCTATAATGTCTACTGCCACCCTACTGAATGGTTCTTCAATGATGGGCAGAGACCGTAGTCGGGCTTTGTATCTGTCCCCCCTCTTGCCTACCCTTTGGCAGGTATCGCAGGTCTGACAATACCGCTTAATATCCTGGGAAATACCTGGCCAAAAGAAGTTTTGGGTCAGCCTGTGCTTGGTCCGACTGATGCCTAGGTGTCCAGACAGGGGGATATCATGGGCTATGCGTAACAGCTCTAACCTATACTTTCGAGGCACTATTAGCTGTTTAATGGGCAACGGTATTGACCCGGACACTACCTTCTCTGCGTGCCGATATAGTAGCCCTTTGTCCCAGATATATCTTTCCCCCTCTAACCCAGCTTGATTTTTTATCCATGCGGTCTTTGTACACCTGTAACGAAGGATCTAGGGCTACTTCGGCCCCGAACTCTATGGAATTGGCCCAGGGCAGGGTAGGGGGTAGGGGAGGGTCATTGCTTACCTGAGCCTCAGAGTGTTCGAATGGTGCAGTGGTGCGGGCCTGTTGCCGGGTCACAACCGGGTATGCTTCTTGTACGGTGGGCTGGGGAACAAAAGCCGAAGTCAGCTCCCCCAAATCGTTGCCCAAAATCACATCCGCTGGCAAGTCTTGCATCATCCCCACATATACATTCCCGTGCCCCGCTCCCCAATTCAAGTGCACCTTGGCCGTGGGTACTTTGTAAATGGCTCCCCCAGCCACCCGCACAGCCACACAGTCCCCCGTGAGCTTGGGCTTTGGTACCAGATGACTGCGTACTAGAGTTAGGGTGGCTCCCGATTCACGAAGTCCTTGTACTTTCCTCCCTTCCATGTGTACTTCCTGGCGGTGCCCTTGGCGGTTATCGGAGGCGGCCTGGATAGGGTTCACCTCGTGTAGAGTACCGAGGGGTTCCTCCCGGGTCGTCCCCAACTCCAGATTTTGGTCGGATTCGGCCTGTAGACAGTGGACTGCGGCACGGTTGCTCGGGGCGGCGTTATTCCAGCTGGGTCGAGGCCGGTTCCGTGGGCAGTCTCTCTGGATGTGCCCCTGTTGGTTGCAGGTATGGCACCGGATTGGTGGACGTGCTGAATATCTGGGGGGGTAGGAATTCTGATTTACCCCTGGTCGCTGGTACGTTGCGGGGCCCCCTGGAGGGCTGGCCGTTGTAGGGGGGATGGTGGCTCGGGTTGGTATGGGTTGATCTCTCCGATTGTCCTGGAAATCGTCTGCCATATTAGCCGCTTCCTGCAGGGTGTGTGGCTTTCCTGTCCCGGATCCAGTTTTGTAGGTAGGTCGGGACGCCATTGAAGAATTGTTCCAGTACCATTAGCTGGAACAGACCCTCCAATGTATCAACTTGGGCGGCCTCCAGCCACCCTTTGGCAGCTCGTTGTAGCTGGTGCGCCCACTCCACATGGGTGTCCTTACTGGGTTTTTTAATGTCCCGAAACTTCTTTCGGTATGCCTCTGAGGTGATGGCATACCGGGCTAGGATGGCCCGTTTTACTTTAGCGTAGTCTCTACTATCCTCGTCTGGTACTGCCCGGTACGCTTCGGCGGCTCGCCCAGATAACCTCCCCGCTAGTAGGGGTACTCTGTCTGCATCATTAATCTCGTGCAGCAAACACAGTCTCTCGAAATCCTGTAAATAGTCGTCAACGCCACCCTCTGTCTCCACATAGCTTTTGAAGGCTTGATATGGGATTTTGGTTTTCCCTGGGAAACTATGGATTGGCGTTGCGGCTCTTTCTCTGGCTTGCTGGTTTCCTGGCGGCCCCCTAGCCATAATGTACTCCTGTACATCGGCGAACAGCCGGTTAAACATTTCTGTAGATGGTGGTTCAGGAAATAAAGCCATTCGTGCTCGGAATTCCGCTGTAAATTCGTTGTTTTGTCCCTCCATTTGAGGTGCTGCAGCAGCTGCGGCTCTGTCTCCTTCCATGACCTCCGTAATTAGGACAGCCTTTGCCTTGTTACTGGCGATTGCTCCTCTTGCTTCCAGCAGCTCCTTTAATGTGCTCCGTTTTAGCAGGGTGTAGTCTGTTCCCATTCACCTGCTGTTCGTGAGGTTTATTCGAATGCGCTGATTCCCGAATGCTGGTTCCTTGATTCGTTTAAAAATCTGCCGAACGTTGCTTTGCTGTGTAAATTCAATCCCGTCGCTTGCCACCAATTGTAGCGGAGAGGCAGTATGATCCACGATATCTCCGCTGGGTAACAGGAACAACAAGGATAATCCAGGGAATCAGCATCTAATAATCCAAACAGCACTGCAGTAACCCTTCCTTCCCAAGAACTAGACGACACATAGGCTGAGGTTTTAATCACAGGTCACAGTATTTATGCAATTCCCCATGCAAGGGGTTTCCAAACAGACATTACAGGGGTTGTACAGGAGGGGACTACATGGGGGACTTACAGTACTACATATTTCTCCCATCAGGCACCGCTGCACGAGAGGGATCATCCTCCCAGAATGCACCGTTAAGGGGATTATCCCCTCGTGCAGCAGAACCGGCAATTCACACAAAAATCCACAGCTGGTACAATATACGGTGGATTTACACGAATGGACGTTCGGTAGATAGCTGGGGTCTGGGCGCATCATTCGTGAGATTGCCGCTCAGATCCCAGCTAAAATAACCGAACGCCGCACAGAAAACACTTTCTTTCAAAACACATGAAAAGAACCGATTGTCTTTAGTGAACCTGGTCCTGAAACTCCCGAACGTCCTGGAGGCTTAACGGTGTTCGTGCCGTCGAATAACTGTGGGGAATGCTATGCGTTCGACGACACGGACCCGCTGACGAACCAGGGATCCAAGATGGCCGCCCGCCGCATGGTCGGTAGTCGAACGACGGCCACCCAGGAGAGCCTCTAATAACCGATTGCAACAATGTTGCAATCGGTTAACTAGCACCACACGCCTCTAAGTGTGTGGGCTATTAGGGGGTATCGCATTCGTTTCACGAACGGCCCTCCAAAGTGCCGTTCGCGAAACGAACGGGAATCCCCATACAAACCCCATTTGCATTCGGCGGAACAGATAGGTACAGGCAATGCAGGGAATACATGAAGTAGGCACATACAGGTACAATGCATCTCTCTCCAGACCTATAGGCAACCCTTAAAGGCATAGTGTCCAGTTATAGTCCGAGTGGCTAGGTTTGCCACAGAGGTTGTGTGCGATTGATCCACTTTGCAATGAGTCCACACTTGGGGAATAATGAGAGTATTTCATGGAGTGTGCAGTTGTCTAATATTCCTTAGGAGCACTGTTTTTCTTATTTTACATTGAAGTGGAAGTATTGTTCTTTTTTCGGTGATCAGAAGGTGCTTGTAAAACACCACAATGGCTTAATTGTGGAGCTGCAAAATCGGAGGTATTCTGAACTGGCATCTTGCATGTTTTATTAACAATGGCCCTCTGCATGTGCCACAGAGTTTTTTGTAGTAGTTATCATGTATCAAACATGTTCCATCAAGCATTTCAAATACTACATAAACTCACACCAGTCACGGTCCTTTCATGATTCGCGTGACATTTAGGTGCATTCCTGAGTGTATGATTTGCATTTTGCTTGGCTAGTTTTCATCTTTCTGCTCTATGTAATCGGTGATTTCAGCTTAGCTCAATGTTAATGTGTCATGTTTGTTGCCTTGGCCTCAGGGTGTTTGTTGACTTTCCAAACCTGAATTCACCATTTTGGTTTTCTACCACTATAAGTGATTTTACGAAGCGCCAAAACACCTACTGCTAGCAGTTTTGTCGTTATATGGTTTTCTACCAAGCATAGCGATTCAGTGGATAGATAGTGCATCTTCCTTTCCCGATCATACTTGGTCTATAGCTTGTGAGTACTAGTCATACCAACCATGGCCTTGATTTAATACTTGTGGATAACCATTTTCAATATTTTTGAATACAACTTCAAAATTATGTAATATTTCAATATTTTCTATTTATTGATATCATTTCACATATGATATATTTCTGATATTTTAATATTTTGAATTTCTTTTTTTTAAAGTTTATCCAAAATATAAATAAATATAATTAAAAAAATATTTTTTAAAAGCTTGTCCAAAAATATTAAATGAAGGTTCATGTGAGGCCCAAATAACAGAAGTTGTTAATAAAGCACATTATATTTCAGCACCTCTTTATTTTAAATGTCATTGGTATATGGCATAACAGTTTCTGTTAAAGGATAATGGCTTTGATTTAATTGTTGGATAAGATTTCCAAATTATTTAATATTTTGGATAAACTTCTAAGATAATTTTTAACATATAAAAAATATATCTCAAATAGATCAATATATCAAAACAATTACAAAACTAAAATATGTTTCGTAATATTAAATAATTTGCAAAGATTATCCAGCAATAATCAATCAAGTCAAATGTTTGGAATTAGTGTATAACCTCACTTTTCTAAATAAAAGATTTACTGTTAATTCTTGATTCAAATCTGTGCATTATTGTAGGACATTTATAATGCACAATTGTTTAAAGGTACATTGATGACTTGACATTTTTTTTTTTTTTTAAACTAGCAAGCAAACACCTTTACAGAAATATACAGACCAAAATAAAGCAAGAAAAACCTAGAAAACCATGTAATAAATGTTTATAGACAACATAAACCTTGTCAGATTGCTTTGTTGGGCATGCCTCTAAGCTACTTCCCTCCGTCTTACCCATCCATCTTAGTTTCAGACCAAACCAATAATGACAGAAACAGCAGCAGGACTGAGAAGCTGCTGTTTCTTCCCCTGCACTGCATGAATCACACTCAGACTCCCTCTCTTCTCCCCATATCAGTATTTTGCAAGATGAAGAGATTGCACATGCCTTACTCTGTCCGGCATGCCCATTGCTTATTTCTAGCATTCCTAGGGATAGGACACTGATTGGTTGGATCAGTGTCCACTGTAGAGAGGGTTTAGAAAACATAAGAAAGAAGAAGCAGAACAATTTGAAAAAAATAAATCATATTTACCTGTCTTTTTTTTTTAGCCTGTTGAGTGAGGCAATTGTGTCATTTTGAACCTAAAGCTTTTGCATGAGATCCATGTCCCTTTAAGAGTTTGTCAGTAACTTGTAATACACTTATTAATCAAATACATTGAAAACACATTAAAATATTCTTACTTTTGTCAAAAAACTGCATATTTATTTTGCCTGATTTTATTTTTATGGCAGTGTTCTTATATTCTTATTAAATGTGCTCACATAGCATGAGGAGGAATGGGAGATAAATCTAAACAGCTTTCAACCTATATCAGCGGCAACATACTGTTACCCCATATGGTCAGTATCAATATGAATTTGAAGTAGATCAAAGTTCTACTTATTCTAGGAAAATAAATAAGTGCTGAAATACATTTTTTTTAAATAGTTGAAATTTAAACTTCAATACTATACAATCCCAAACTACAAGTCACATTTCCATAACGTTTACAGATCATTTTATATTTCATGTAATTCATTAAAGTTAATTATTACTCATAAATATTTCACATTATTTTTAATTATATAATAGACTTGAGTTTTAAAGAAAATCCGCCTCGGCCGAAACCTATCTTTCTGGAAATAGAAACATTTTTAGGACACTTGAATTTTAGCTGAATGTCATCTCTTCAGCTCGGCAAAATTTCGGCACATAGAATATAATCTTAACTCCCTGTTCAGATCTACGAAGCTTTTAATACCCAGACATTGAATCCTTTATAGCACTGAGTATTTTATTTTTAGTTTAATTTGTGTAAGACCCAACATTTAATTATTCCATAATGTCTTTTTTTCTGTATCTGTTTACAGATTCCAAATGGTTTTTGGGGTATTTTCATTAAAGGGACACTATCGGCAACCAGATCATTACATCTCATTGAAGTGGTCAGGGTGGAGTATCAGTGTCCCCTAAACCCTGCCTGAAGGGATAGGCTATAAACACCAGAAACACTACATTAGGAGGTAGTGGTTCTGGTGACTGTAGTGTCCCTTTAAGTTCCAAATGGACATTACATTGTTTCTGTGTGTTTTTTTTAAAGGGACATGCATCACTTGACAATTTCATTTTAACCCCTTAATGCTATTACATTTTTTACTTTATTTCCAGTTTGGTGGACTTCCTGGACTGTTATATATATATTTTTTAACATATATATATATATTTTTAAATTAAATTCTCTGGGCTTTCGGTCTCGATTGTCAACCAGGTAACTCAAATACTAATTATTATAGTCAAATAATTATGTAAACATTATATATGTGGGTTTGATTATATATATATTATTTTTTTTAAATGATTTATATATGTATATATAATTTAATTCTAAACTGCCTGGACTGTCCACAAAACTGGTAATTAAGTTAAAAATAAATAAATATATATATATATATATATATATATATATAAATATATATATATATATATATTAAGTTGTATGAAGTTTATATGAAGGGGCATATATTTATTTTTTTTAACTTAATTACCAGTTTGGTGGACAGTCCAGGCAAACGGTGGAGGAAAGCACGTCTAGCGTCATTTCACACAGTCAACCTCATTTAAACTGCAGGACTCCCTGCTTGTATTGCAGAGGTAGAGATGATATACACACACTATGCGGGAAGTACTCCCGTCAGGGTGCTCCAGACAGGCAGGGTCACAAACCCAGGAAAAATTCAATAGAACAATGTAGATCAGGGCACACCTGGCGGTTTCTTCGGTAGGCAACTTATATAAAGTGCAGAACAAACACAAAGTTTTGGCTCCATGGAGCCTTTGTCAAGTCTTGTCAAGTCTTGACTTGAAGAAAGCCGAAACGTTTTTGTTTTGCACTTTATAATAAAGCTGCCTACTGAAGAAACCACCAGGTGTGTCCTGATTAACATCGATCTTTGGATTTCCTTTTGTGGCTGCCTGGTAGACAACCAGTGTTTTACATTGCAGGGTCAGGGATAGGGTCAGGGAGAGGGACCCAGACCAATTCAATGAGAAGAAGTGGTGTGGGTGTCTATAGTGACCCTTTAATAAAAATACAAACGCTATGGCACCTTTAAACATTTATAAGCTTGGGAGTGATCTGCGTTCCAAAAATAGACACATTTTGTTTCTTGCTAGTGCAAATTCTAAGCAAAGTACAAACTTTAATAAGAAACTGTTTTGTTTGAAAGTTGTATGTTTGGTCTTTTGGTTGTATGTCAATTTGATAAAGATGTTTGGAACAAATTGATAGGAATTATTTCACAAACTTGATGTAACAAATAATAAATCTATAGGATTTTTTGACAGAGCATTTGATAAATTGATCCAATCTTAGCAAGAAATCACTTTTTGTTCACAGACAGATTGCCGTACAGACGAAAATAAAGAAACATCAAGCTCTCTTTATAAATGGTTGGCTTTAATAAAAACACATCACAAAGCACCGAATGAATACATTTTTATTGCCATATTTGGAATAAATGGTGATATTTTTTGGCACTTTTGTTATGTTTGTTTCTCTTTAGATGAATCCACACATATTTTATTTTGTATTTTAAAGGAAAGATATCAGAGTTTCTTCTGCACATCACATATATGCAGATATGCACATCACATTACATATGATTCAAATATAAAAAATATTAAACACTTTTTTTTTAATAGTATTAAGTGTAATAATTTTTACACAGCTGGCACAACTAAAGAGATAACTTAAGTAGACTCACCTATTATTCCTGTTTGTTGAAATGCCTCATACGTCCAGAATGAAATTTTTTATTTATTAATTTTTTTATATATTATAATGGTAATATTGCAAGTAGTCAATTATGGTTTTAAAGGTAAAAAAAATGCAACATTTGGTTTGTGGAGACTATAGCATTAATAGAAGTCAAATAATCCAAATCTAATAAACAACACCCAAGGCACTATATATTTAAATTAGATAGTTTCAACACTTTTCATTTAACCATTTTATCACCAACCAAGTTTATTTTTTGTGTTTTCCACAACCTTAGTTTTCATGGACATTTCACAGAATGTGTTTGTCCCATGGCCGTATAGCAGGCTTATATCCTGCTGCTGGCCCAAGTATGGCAATACCGCCAAGCAGACCCTTGTTGTTAGACTTTTAAAAAGTTGCAGGGTCAAACTACAGACATGCCAATTTCAAGCTTTAAAAATGTATTTATTGGGCCAATATTTTTGGAACAAAATGGTAGCACCTAACTATACCTAACTGTACTTAACATTATGGCATTCCATTTGTAAAACTTGGCAGCTTTGTCTATTCTGTGTCTTTTCACTTGTCCATTTTATCCCAGATTTCGTTTGAATTTTTCTTACATTTGTTTTTCAAAAACATACCTGTCCCTTGCTCTCTCCTAAAGGGCAGCACTTTACTCTCTTCTCCAGCTCTGCTTCACTCCCACCTTATTTGATTGCTATTTCCTGTCCTATTGTGTTTTACACCCCACCTCCTATAGACTGTAAGCTCGTTTGAGCAGGGTCCTCTTCAACCTATTGATGTAGATTAATTTAGAAATAAACAAAAATGTTTAAAAGTCTATCTGTTCCTGTCCAAATCTGAGATGAATAAATTGCGTATACGCAGAAGTAAGTTCACACTGACACATGCAGTTCAGGTTAAAAACACTTCAGGAAATTTATTAGCATCTAGTTAAAAAGCGGGCACGCAGGCCTTTTTATATGCAAAATGACATCATCATTGAATATCAGATAATAACAAATAAACATCATTAATTGGGTTAAATGTTAAGTGGCTATGTCAGTGTCCACCCATTAATATTATTAATTGGCTCAGAGATTTGAGTGACTAGTGAGGCACCCTCCCATCATGGGATGTCGTCGCCATTGCTCTTTAGCACGAGGCTTACTCGGTGGAAAGGGGGGCTTGGGCGTCATTTTACGTAGTTAGTGATGTCAGTCTCGTGGTCTGTTCCAAGGTTCTTTTATGAATAGAACATTTCATTTTGTCACTGTTCTCCTGGCCTTGGATTATACTATGTTGCAAGTCAACGGAGATCCGCTAACTCCGGGGCTAGTTATGTCCTTAGAGAGAGAAAATACAATCTCTTATTCATTATACTAAATACTGTCAGGAAATTCTGTCATGTAAGGTGAACAAAATGGAGTTAGTACAATAATTCAATACAGGTTCTAATAAAGATTTTAATAATTCTACATCAGTCCCCCCTATGAAATGTTAGATTCTAAAAGATAATCTTTATTTGTTAGTATCAGAAGACGTGTTAGCCCAAAGGCACAGAAACCCCGTGACCCGCTAGCTAGGTGTTATTGCAAAGTGCAAAGCTGTCCCTTCGTCTGTCCCTAATTGGCTAACTCATCTGTCCGCTGGGCACTCGAACACTTCACTCCATGGGTATCCCGAGGTGGCTAACCCACCACATCTCCGCACGGTAGACTTCCCAGACAGACAGATGCTGTCCCTAAGCTGGTCCCTTCCTAGAACTCTTGCACTTTATCAATAAACGGGATAGATTGTAGCGGTATACAGGGCGAGTTGACTTTTTGGAAATCTTGGTCATCAACTGTGAGGTGTGCGAAAGTGGGTGCCGCTTGGTCTACAGTCTTCAAGAGGAGCTTTCTCAGACAAGGGAGGACACAACAAACGAGAAGAGCAAAGATAAAAAGGAAAATTAGTATTGCTATACCAATATGCATCAAAGCTTTTTGCCATCCTGTCATCCAACCAAACCATCTCTCCCAGGGATCTTTTATCCCAGAGTTCCTCTTTAGCTCCTCAGAGAGCTCTTTCAATTTTCCTATAGCTAAGGTTACTTTACCATTGGGGCCTGTGTTTTCTGGGATGTAAGTACAACATGTCATGGTGTCAGGCAGAATTTTACATACCCCTCCTTTTTCGGCTAGAATCATATCTAAAGCCATTCTATTCTGGAATGACATTTGGGACGTAGCCTGCAGCTGTTCGGCCAAACCCTGAAGGGCATCCCTGGTGTAATTAACAAACCGTTGTTGGTTGTAGTAGATGTAATTTATCCAATTTAAATTCTTGTTTGCAGTGACTATGGTAAAAAGTGATTCAAATCCTGCAGCAACTTCATCCCTGGCTTTAAACTCATTGGGCACCCCCCTAGGTACCCCAATGGCATCAATGTAAATATGAGGGTCAAAACTGCCTTTTACTGGGGCTTCACGCTTTACCTTGGTTGGTGAGTGTTTGGACTCATGAGTCTTTATCCATTCTTGATCTCAGCTGTAGATCCCCACACAACCAGTAAATATCCCCCAATGATCTAGTGTGGAATTGTAGGAGGTTCATAGAGACAGTTCTGTAGGTGGCACAATAACCTTTAGAGAAGTTACCCACAAATTTACCAATTCCATCATAATTAGCATAACAGGTATAATTACCTTTATAGACGGTAACACCATCTGGGGGTTTGCAATCTTTGACTAGAAGAGGATACTCTACTGTCCATGCTTTACATATGGACCTATTGAAATTGTAGTGATAGGCAAAAAGACTCAGAACACATTCTTCTATATCTACTGGCAAAGTTGAAGGCACAGTGCCCAGGTGCGGCCGGGCACCACCACACACATAGCATGCAGTTCTGTTATGTTTGTTGGCATTATATTTCATCCATTCTAACCATAGATTAACATCATTGAAACCTGTTTCAGCAGCCATGGTATCTTCAAATGTTGGATTTGCAATGGCCATCATGTCTTTAAAAGATTGGATGTGTGGTTTCAACGGATTTGAGTCCCTTTCCACTCAGGAGAGTGGCACATATCTTTAAGGTGGAAATGTCCTAATTTATTATAGGAACCCTTCTTCCAGTACATTCCCATTACATACTGGTCTGCATCCGTTGGGCTGGGATGCTCAATGTTTAAGATTAATTTCATAGGTATGCCTCCTCCGGGCTTTCTCAGAGTCATTCTCTGGAGGAGGGACCTACCGTGATCATCAATTTTAGATAAGACACTTTTTGGTTTGTAACCCCAGGCAGGCCCGGCATTCCATCCCGCCGCCCCCCAATGGTTACAGTTGTGCCCCCATTGTTTGTCAACTACACAAACATAGGGGTCTTTTGAATGAGGGATATCTCTATAGATATTCTGAATCTGTGACGTGGGGAATGGGCATTCTACGATGTCACAGTAGTCAAAAGTATAAGTAGCCACACGGGTACATGATGAATTATACCAGAAGGTGTACCCACTAGCATCTTTGGTGATGGCCACCTGCTGGGCTTTAAGGAGGCCAACTAAGGAGATAATGTACCAGAGGCACATGGTTGCATAGAGTTAGCTTCCTCTGGGGCAGGTGTCTTCTTGCAATGGGAAGCGTGGATCCAGTTAGGCCTTCCGGCCAATTTGACAGAGGTAGGGGAGATCAGGAGAACTTGGAACGGACATTTACTGTTTTCGCACAAATTTCTTGACCAGAACCCAGTCATCGGGGAGCAGACTGTGGTTGCCTGTGTCAGAATCAGGATCTGGAATTGAAGAGAAAACTTGGGCATGGATTTTGTTTAAGGCGTTTGCGAGTTCAGTTACATAATCTACTAAGACATCAGTTTGAAGTTGTAGTTGTTGGGGAAAATAGCAACCTAGCCTAGGTGCAGTCCCAAATAGAATCTCATATAGGGACAATGAGGTAGTATTTTTGTACAAGAGCATTCATTAGATCCTTTGATAAATGTGCAGGTCCGTGTGCCCATTGTACGACTGCTGGGTACAAATTCTTAGGGAGGCAGAACTTGAGGTTGTTGGAGTACACTCCATCCTTCAGAACTGCCCCTTTCTGTTTCCACTTCTGTATTTCTTCAGGGGCAACTGTAGCCTGTTGTTCCCGCAGGATTTTTAGGTCAGTTGGAAGAGTCTGCAGAGTAAATATGGGAGTTTCTTCATTTCCGGACACTCTTCTTTCCACTTCCTGTGGTTCTTTTGCAGCTTGTTTTGCAGCCTGATCAGCTAGATGGTTGCCCCTTGCTTCATCTGAGTCCAACTTCCCATGTGCTTTTATCTTCAAAATAGCCACTTCTTCTGGGAGTAGGAGGGCGTCCATCAGCTCCTTGATTGCGGAACCGTGCTTGATTGGTGTACCGGCGGTGGTAAGAAATCCTCTTGTTTTCCAAATTAATCCGAAGTCGTGAGCCACGCCCAGTGCATATCTTGAATCCGTGTAGATATTGGCGCGCTTTCCTTCAGAGATCTTGCATGCTGAAGTCAGGGCTTGCAATTCAGCTTCTTGTGCAGACATAGTTGATGGTAAAGATGATGATTTGACAATTTCATCTGTTGTGGTTACGGCATATCCTGTATGGTATCTTCCTTCTTCATCAGCATATCTTGAGCCGTCCACAAACAGGGTGAGATCGGGATCTACCAATGGGTCTTCATGCACAGTTGGTAGATGTGTTGTTTCCATTTTCATCTGTTCAAAACAGTCATGAGGTGTATCTGGGTCGTAGTCATTCACTATGGTTAAATCTTGGAACTCATTCTCCAGGAAATGACGCGGCCATGCTTTTAGGTGGTCAGTTGTTGGATATTTGACAACACCATTTTCCTGTAGCTGTGATTCGTCCATAGTGGCCCATGCTTTTGCCATAGGCCCAAGATCATTCCATGATATTGTTTTCAACTTGGTCACAGGGACATGTGGAATGGCAGTGTCCCAATGACGGTACAAATGCTTGAGTTCCGGAGGTAGATGAATCAAGACCATACTGTTGCCTTCAGAATCACAGTAGAAGTCTTGTGCAGTGAGTTTTACTTCGACCAGATGATAGAGTTCATCTTCATAGCAGGTTTCAGGAGTGATGTTTGATTTGTACCACATGGTACAGAAGGCATATCCTGCTCCGTCATGAAGGAGTGCTTGTCCATCATGAAAGGATAGGTTGGGATGCATTTCCTTCTTGATGGTGCCAGTGAGAAGAAAAACATAAGTTTCGTCCATGATGAATCCGTAGTATACACCCCCCTCAGGGAGTGGCAGAAGAGTGGACGGATTGAGAACTTGACATCTTTGGAGGGTAATGTTGTCAGGCAACAAAAGATGACATTGAAGGCGAAGATGCCTAGCAGGAGTAACATGCTTAAGTTGGACCTGGTTGACTATGGCAGAAATGTCATGGGGGGCCAAGACAACCAGGGGGTGGCCAAGGACAAGATCTCCAGTTCTTTCAATGAGCTCTCTGGCAGCAAAGACGGCCCGAAGGCAAGAGGGACGTCCTCTGGCCACAATATCCAGTTGGCAGGAGAAAAATCCAATAGGCCCTTGGCGGCCTCCAGGACCATGGGCCTGAGTGAGCACTCCTGTTGCATGGCCTTGTCTTTCAGAAACAAACAATTTGCATGCCACTGAGAAGGCTGTCAATTTGGTGTCTTGAGCAGATGTGGGTGAGGAAAGTAAAGATGCTTGACGTACCTGATCTTCTGTAGCAACAGCAAATCCAGTATGGTACCTTTCCTCTTCATCCGCAAACAGAGTGGAGTCAGGATCTGGCAAAGCTACTGCATGCCTTGTTGAGAGGTGTCTTATTTCTTCTTTCATCTGTTCAAAGCAACCATGAGGAGTAGTAGAAGAGATATCCTCACCTATTTCTGTGTGAGATTGAGGGTATTTGTCTTTCCATTTACAGTTGTCTTGCTGCCCCCCCCTCTGTAGAGAGCTGATATCGATTTTTAGTGTTTCATGTTTTATTGAGTCAGGTTCCTTTTATGAGATTTCTGGGGACTTAGTGAAGAAAACATGAGGGGCAGCCACCTCCCAGTGATGATACAGGTGTCTTACTTCCATGGGAATCTGGGTCAGGACCGCACTATTTCCTTGAGAGTGCCCAAAACAGTATGAATAATAATTTTTTTTTTTTAGTGTGGTATTCCCCCCTGGGAAGTGGCGGAAGAGGGGCCAGAGCAACTTTTTTTTTTTTTTTTTTCAAAATATAATGTTGTCAGGTAGGGGACAAGGTAGAGTAGAGAGAGGAGTAGGAGGAGGAGAAGGTGAAGTAGAGGGAGGAGTAGGAGGAGGAGAAGGTGGAGTAGAGGGAGGAGAAGGTGGAGTAGAGGGAGGAGAAGGTGGAGTAGAAGGAGGAATAGGAGGAGTAGGATTGAATAAGAGGAGGAGGGAGGAGTAGGAGGAGGAGAAGGTGGAGTAGGAGGAGGGGAAGGTGGAGTGGGAGGGTTGGAATAGGAGGAGTGGAAGGTGAAGTAGAGGGAGGAGTAGGAGGAGGAGAAGGTGGAGTAGAGGAGAGGAGAAAGAGGAGGAGAAGGAGGAGGAGAGAGAAGTAGAAGGAGGAGAAGGTGGAGTAGGAGGAGGAGTAGGAGGAGGAGAAGGTGGAGTAGAGGGAGGAGAAGGTGGAGTAGAAGGTGAAGTAGAGGGAGGAGTAGGAGGAGGAGAAGGTGGAGTAGAGGGAGGAGAAGGTGGAGTAGAAGGAGGAATAGGAGGAGTAGGATTGAATAAGAGGAGGAGGGAGGAGTAGGAGGAGGAGAAGGTGGAGTAGGAGGAGGGGAAGGTGGAGTGGGAGGGAGGAATAGGAGGAGTGGAAGGTGAAGTAGAGGGAGGAGTAGGAGGAGGAGAAGGTGGAGTAGAGGAGAGGAGAAAGAGGAGGAGAAGGAGGAGGAGAGAGAAGTAGAAGGAGGAGAAGGTGGAGTAGGAGGAGGAGTAGGAGTAGGCAGGGGTGGGCAGGTAAGGGAGCAGACAGGTCTCCATATGGAGGCGTGGGTATGTAGCAGTGGAGGATACATCAGAAATCAGAACTAAGTAGAAATGCAATGGAGGCTGCAAATAGTCCATGTACAACAACTTTTAACTGGCCCTATGCTTTCCCTAGAGAAAAATAATAAAAGGCTAACAAGCACATCTGTCTGTACAGGCCTCGAACGCTTCACTCCGTGGGTATCCCGCAGTGGCTAGTCCACTACATCTCCCACACCAGACTTTTGCTCGTAGAGACAGACGCTATCCCTGACTCTCTCTTTTTTTTTTTTTTTCAACCTATCATAAAATATAACTCTTACTTACATCACAAATATACATTATCGCAATTTTATGTCTCGCAAAAGGGATAAAACTTACTTTACTCTTCACTGATAATGTATTAAAACTTACAAAATAGACAAATAACTGTTTTTCTGCGAGATAAATGAAAAAGATAATGGAGGTTTTGTTAAGCTTTACATTTAGCTATACATTAATTTATCCTTTCTGGTTTCCAGTTTCTCTCTGTTAATGACAATGTACAATGTAATAGAGCAGCAGGAAAAGCTAGCAGAATGCTTGGTTGTATAGGGAGAGGTATTAGCAGTAGGAAGAGGGAAGTGCTCATGCCATTGTACAGAACACTGGTGAGACCTCACTTGGAGTACTGTATACAGTACTGGAGACCATATCCTTAGAAGGACATGGATACCTTAGAGAAAGTTCAAAGAAGGGCTGCTAAACTGGTTCATGGATTGTAGGATAAAACTTACCAGGAAAGGTTAAAGGATCTTATCATGTATAGCCTTGTGGAAAGACGAGACAGGGGAAATATGATAAAAGCATTTAAATACACAAAGGGAATCAACACAGTTAAAGTGGAGTCTATATTTAAAAGAAGGAAAACTACCATAACAAGAGGACATAGTCTCAAAAATAGAGGGACAAAGGTTTAAATAAAAATACTATCAGGAAGTATTACATTACTGAGAGGGTAGTGGATGCATGGAATAGCCTTCCAGCTGAAGTGATAGAGGTTAACACAGTAAAGGAGTGTTTAAGCATGCGTGGGATAGGCATAAGGCTAAGCACTTGCTGCTAGTAACAGATCTAGAATCAATACACTATAATGCCCAAAGTCTCGACTTCTATGCATATATAATAATAAAATATCTGGGCTTACATTAAAAAAATATGTTAGTCAGTCTTTAATCTTGGTGGTTAACATTATCCAATAAAGACAGATTGGAACACACTCCCCCCTTATCCATTTGTTAGTAGTTAGGCTCATAATGTTTTCTGGTTCTTTTCAATTAGATCAAAACATCTTGAGACCAATCTTTAATTGTATTACCATTTGTTCAAGAAATCTTTGTTTATTAGAAATTTCTTTTAGTAACCCTTCTTCTAGCATGTTATCAATTTTTTGTACACAAAGTTAAAACATATTGTTACTTAACACGTGAATCGGTATATATATATCCTTTCTACATATTAACCATCACTTGTCACAGACACTTTTCTGATATAGGGAAACATTAGCAGGATTATTTTAGTAATTGTAACTTTCTTGTTCATAATATGTGGGAATTTAAGGAAGACAGCATGTCTTAAGATAAAATGAGCATGATAGGAGTAGATCTCGTCAGCCATGGATGGCCAGAACTGACACGATATATGGGCAGATATGACCTCACTAAGGGCAGAGTGAAGGCACTTAAGGACAACCTTCTTTTGTTCTAGGGGCCATTTTCCTTTAGGGCATACTAAGTCTCTCTGGAGGCGTGGGTTTCATGGGAAGTAACATTCTGTTCGGCAAAATGAAAATCTGAACTGTGGACAGACTTGACGGATTAAATAAGACAGTTGTGAATATTATACATCTAACAGCCCACAAAGCTGTCTCTAGAAACATATACTAACTTAATAACTTCTATTCCTGCATCAGATTCACTCCCTAACCATCCTATCAATTTCTATTGAGATAACAAAATACACAATTAGAATATTTTCTAGCAAAAATTTCATTGCTAAAATCTTATCAGTAGCTTCTGAATAACTCTACAGAACACCGAAGAGACAGACCTAAATCGCAAGCATGTCACCACCCCCCTCCGCCCCCTCCCCCCCGCGTCTCACAGAAGCGAGGGGAGGGGGGGGTGTTTTAGCAGAGGGGGATTTGAGTGGAACAAGAGAGAGACTGCCTGCCAGCACGAATTTAACCATGTCAACGCTGTACAGTAACAAGACAGAAGGATAATTACATTACAAAGCAAAAACACAACATTTCATTTAAACCCCCACCCTCTACCAGGGTAATGGCTAACACAAAATACAAAAACCCCACAGCGTTTTAAGATTGGGGTGGGATGGTGACCATGGTCAGCTACATTTCGGTCATTACTGACAGGATGATGGAAGTGGTCACCTCCTGGAACCCCCGACAGGGCACTGGCTGGGATAACTTCCCAGTAACACAATTATTATGATATACATACAGTTCTTAACCCTTTATGATTTATCTCTTCCTCTACCCAACCCTCCTGCTGGATAGCCTTTCTACTCTGTACCATGCTTCAGCAGTACGCAATAAATCATTATCTGTAAGCTTGCCTTTCTTCTCTGTCAGTAATCTACGCCAGCTTTCTGGCTGTAATCTACCACATGAAGGCACAGCAATTTTACACACTTTAGCAATCTTTGCAACATTTTTAACCAGTTCTTCACCTTCTCTATCTTCAACTAAATCACACGCGAGCCAGCCCCTAGCGGGCTTACTCGTTTCCTGTCCCATATCCCCCTATACAAAGCGTATAAAAACATATACAAAGTATAGGTAAAGGAAAATGAAACAGAACGTCTACAATGCTCGACTGCCACTAGGAAGGGTGGGTCCCTCCCAGTGCGTCTTCCCAAAACGTAGACCAGTCACTGAATCCGTGTACCCTCGATGGTAACCACGGATTGGAGCGGGGTGAGAAGTGTGTGACCAATCACTTCTCTTTCAAGAGAAATAGGAGTGGATAGTGTAAATAGTACAGGAAGTAGAGGAAAAGTAAACAGTGAAAGTAGAGACAGACCCAGGAGTTTGAATGACTCCACACTTAAGACAACATTTAATACAACATTTCAATTGAAATACAGTGCATGCATCAACAGTAATCCCTTTCCTTTACTCTTGTGGCCACCAAGACCACCTCCCTCAATCTCGTAGTGTCCCCGCTCGGAGAACAACTTTCGTAAGTTTCACTACCAGCGGCCAAGGATAACGACTAACACCGGCCCGAAATCCATATGCCTCCCTTGTTACAGCAGTCCACTAAGTGTGGCCACCTCTATCCTCACTCCCGTAGTGCTCCCTATGGACCCACCCACAAGTCACACTACCCCGTGGTGATGGAGACAACAATGCCTGCCCGAATCCACACACCACAAATAAATTGGAATGCCACCAGCCTCAGCGCTCGAAGCTGGAGGGTACCATAACCTCTGCAAGCAGAGCAACGTACACAATGAGGCTAGCTAGAATATCAAAGTGACGTAACCGGGAAACCCCAGGAGGCAAGTCCCCTCCACAGAATCCCCCAACCCTTCTTTTTCCTTACTACTGTTAGCTAGACAGTACCTAAAAGAAGTAAACAGGAAAACAGGACCCCTTTGGAAAATCCCCACAGGTCCACCCCCCCTTTTTTCCCAACAGTCTGGGCCAAGTGACTCCTAAAAAGGGGTAAAAACAGGCAACAGAAGACCCCCAGGCAACCACCCACGGGTCCACCCCCCTTTATCTCTAAAGAGGGAAAGAACAAAACATATACCACTAGCACACCCAGGCAACAGATAGACTAAATGCAGGTAAACAAATGGGTAACAAGACACCGGGCAAGATATTACCTGTCTTTGATGCCCTCCCGGGAAGCAGTCACAGACACGTGGACGGGTCAATCAAAGGGGCTGGAACATACCGGTGGCTCCTGCAGAAGTCTCTACCGTGTACTCAGAGGTGATCAGTCTCTCTTCCTTCCCCCCCGATTCCCCCGTCCAACAGCGTCTTCCTTAGGACGGCTTACCGGCCGGAGGCCATAGCCCGATGCCCCACGTTGGATGGACGCCAGATTGATGTAGATTAATTTAGAAATAAACAAAAATGTTTAAAAGTCTATCTGTTCCTGTCCAAATCTGAGATGAATAAATTGCGTATACGCAGAAGTAAGTTCACACTGACACATGCAGTTCAGGTTAAAAACACTTCAGGAAATTTATTAGCATCTAGTTAAAAAGCGGGCACGCAGGCCTTTTTATATGCAAAATGACATCATCATTGAATATCAGATAATAACAAATAAACATCATTAATTGGGTTAAATGTTAAGTGGCTATGTCAGTGTCCACCCATTAATATTATTAATTGGCTCAGAGATTTGAGTGACTAGTGAGGCACCCTCCCATCATGGGATGTCGTCGCCATTGCTCTTTAGCACGAGGCTTACTCGGTGGAAAGGGGGGCTTGGGCGTCATTTTACGTAGTTAGTGATGTCAGTCTCGTGGTCTGTTCCAAGGTTCTTTTATGAATAGAACATTTCATTTTGTCACTGTTCTCCTGGCCTTGGATTATACTATGTTGCAAGTCAACGGAGATCCGCTAACTCCGGGGCTAGTTATGTCCTTAGAGAGAGAAAATACAATCTCTTATTCATTATACTAAATACTGTCAGGAAATTCTGTCATGTAAGGTGAACAAAATGGAGTTAGTACAATAATTCAATACAGGTTCTAATAAAGATTTTAATAATTCTACATCACTATCATTCCTGTACGTTTTCTTGTAATTGTCCTATTTATAGTTAAATCCCCACTCTCTTAATATTGTAAAGCGCTACAGAATCTGTTGGTGCTATATAAATGGTAATAATAACAATAATGATAACTTTTCTGGTACATTTTAAACCTCTTATGTGTTGTATTACTTTGAAACACCCAGATTTTTGCCTTGCAGTACCCGCTGAATACAATAATACATCTTATCTTTATTTTTCTAGATTTCTGGGGAACTAGTAGGTTTAAATTGGAGACATGTCGTCATTTTGGCATGTTTCTTACATTGCCAGACCAGGTTTACACTTTGATGCTACTTCTATTCTTATCTAAACCTAACTCTATCCAACATACATCCCGACCCCAGCTAACCCTATCTAACTATAACTGTCTGTCTGTGAACCGAAAGAGATTTCTTGCTAGGATTGGATCCATTTATCAAATGCACTGTCTCAAAATACTGTAGATTTTTTTTATACCAGTTACATCAAGTTTGTGAAATAATTCGTATCAATTTGTTTCAAACATATTTATCAAATCGGGGAAAAATATGATATACAACCAAAAGACCAAACATACATTTTTCAAACAAAACCAGGGAGACACAAAATGTGTCTATTCTTTGGAACGTAGATCACTCCCAAGCTTATAAAATGTTAAAGGGTGCTAATGCAATATCAGGAAGTATTACTTTACTGAGAGGGTAGTGGATGCATGGAATAGCCTTCCAGCTGAAGTGGTAGAGGTTAACACAGTAAAGGAGTTTAAGCATGCGTGGGATAGGCATAAGGCTATCCTAACTATAAGATAAGGCTAGGGACTAATGAAAGTATTTAGAAAATTGGGCAGACTAGATGGGCCGAATGGTTCTTATCTGCCGTCACATTCTATGTTTCTATGCATTTGTATCTTTATTGAAGGGTCTCCAGCTAACCCTATCTAACTATAACCCTAGTTAAATGTAACCTATAGCTAATCCTAACCAACCCTAACCCTAGTTATCACTAGTCCTAACACTAATAACCGATCACCCTGGGATAACGATCGGCATAACAACATGTCTTACCTTTCAGCCAAAACACGTACAATGTGTGTTCAGTGGAGAATGTAATATGTGTGATCTAATTTGTTGAATATACATATCTCTCACTACACGTGCAAAATGAGGACTATGCAGTTCTTGAATGTCTTTTACCAAAAACAAAAGGCATTCAAAGATAGTGGCTAGCCAAGATTCTCTCCCTGATCTGTGCTGGTGTAAAATCTGAGCCTTAGTGATGCTTTTAATCATTGCATGCCTGCCTGCTAAGCAGAACGTGACAGTTTCTTATTAAGGGCCGGGCTCTTACATGGGCCTGTGTCATGGACGCAGAGGGATTGAGCATTTTTGAACATGTTCTCCCACTAGTTCATGCAACGCTACTGAATGAATAAATAGTAGATATTACAAAGAATAAAAAAAAAAAAAAAAGGTGCTGACTAGTGCACTAACTAGTGCTTTGTGATCAAATATCTAAAAAGCTAATTATACAAATTAAAGTGCAAATTAAGTGCACTTAGGTTACTGAAAAAAATGCCTTTACAATAACATGCAGAAACCAACTGTGCAAACATCAAACTGAAATATATATATAAAATATTGTGCAAATAATATTAAAAGCAGACACTTATACACACATCAGAATATTCTGTTACTCTAAAAAAATGAAACAGATATACAGTGAAATATATAGTGAAATATAATTTAATATATGTGACCTCCCAATACTCTCCCAGACTATTTCAGTGCTCTCTGCAGGGTCCCTAGTGCCCTGAACATAGCACAAGTATGTGTAATGATGTAGAGAAATGAGAACAAAATGCCCTATCAAAGTAGGTTTCTTATGAGGTTGAAACATACACTTTAATTTGATTGCTAAAACATAACATTTAATCAAAATTCTATAAAAAAATGTATACAAATATATATAATCAAAAAATGAAAAAGAAATAAAAAAATAGAGAAAAGAAAGTAGGGAGAAACTAGGGATATTTACAAAATACACTCAAATTCATAGGGATCTGGAGCCAGATAATAGGATAAGTGTATGTAGATTGGCTAGTTTTCTATATAAAGATACTCCTACTATTAGGAAATCCTTTCAACACTTATAGTCAAATTAGTAGTGAAATCTCTTAAAAGTAACAGAGTATCTGCAAATGTAGTGATTCCCTGAGAATCAGATTAAAGGACCACTATAGGCACCAGACCACTTCAGCCCCATTGTACAGCGCTACAGAATCTGATGGCGCTATATAAATAATAAAATAATAATACAAGATAATAATGAAGTGGTCTGGGTGCCAGGTCCCTCTAGTTTTAACCCTGCAACTGAAAACATAGCAGTAGCAGAGAAACTGCAGGGTTAATCCAGCCTCTAGTGGCTGTCTCCCTAACAGCCACTAGAGGCCACTTCCATGATTTACAATGAGTAAATCGCACTTATTTGACGCTGGACGTCCTCACGGAGTCCAGCGTCAAATAAGATCCCCATAGGAAAGCACTGAGTAATGCTTTCTTATGGTCGGGTTTGAATGCGCGCGCTTCTGGTCGCGCATGCACATTCGACTCCACTCGGGAGCTGACCTCGGCGGGGATAGGAGAGGTAACCAGCGCTGAGGGAGCCCAGCACTGGATTAAGGTAAGTGGCTAAAGGGGTTTTAACCCCTTCAGCACCGAGGGAGGGGGAGCACTCCAAGAGCCTATAGTGCCAGGAAAACAGGTTTGTTTTCCTGGCATTATAGGATCCCTTTAAGTGAAATGATTGGATCTTCCCAAAGGGAAGATAGTATGCTTCCTACTAAAGTGTATGTACCCAATAAAATATGGTGATCTGGTTCAGAATTAGAGGTAGAAAATGCTAATATAATAGCTTTTTAATCATGAAGCCATAGTCTATAATGTACCTTCGTGGGCACCTAATCATTGCGGTAAAGTAACTAGCTCTATCTACACTGAACAAAATTATAAACGCAACACTTTTGTTTTTGCCCCCATTTTTCATGAGCTGAACTCAAAGATCTAAGACTTTTTCTATGTACACAAAAGGGCCTATTTCTCTCAAATATTGTTCACAAATCTGTCTAAATCTGTGTTAGTGAGCACTTCTCCTTTGCCAAGATAATCCATCCACCTCACAGGTGTGGCATATCAAGATGCTGATTAGACAGCATGATTACTGCTCAGGTGTGCCTTAGGCTGGCCACAATAAAAGGCCAGTCTAAAAGGTGTAACAGAGTATCTCCAAATGTAGCGGATGGTTGGGAGGACTGTAGCTTTTTGTTGTTTGCACTAAGTAGGAAGATTTTGACAATGCAGACCAAACACTAGTCATCAGACAGCAATGTTATGTAGTGCTATTACTTACACATTGTAATGATACAAATCACTCTGGTTCTGTTATACATTTAAAGGTGATGTGAATTTCATTAAAGGACGCAATTCTTATAATTTGATATTTTCACAAAACATATCACTGTAATCAGTAATGTTTTACCCACTAATGTTTGAAAACTGACCTCAAATTGGGCTTATGATATTTGTGTCCTGTATACGAAATCAAACAAATGAACATAGCTTGTTAACTGGCCGAACTCCAAAATCATTAAGATGTAGATTTAGATGTCTACGGTTTTAAATAAGTATATTTTCCTTGAAACTGGCAGGTGAGTTTGCACCCTATGGCATGGTACAAAATACCCAATTCATTTAAGTATACACTAAGACTTTGGACTCTGTGCAAGCAACCTTTTGTTTGTTCTGTTTCTATGTCACAGATGCATATTATTATGCACCTGCGCAGGGGTGATGGAAGTATAGCTCAGCGTAAACATGCTTGTTTAATTTTTAACAAAACTCCAGTACTCTTGGATCAATATCTGTGGCATTACTATATTCATGTGAAGTACGGAAATACAGTCCAACAAATTGCAATGCTCAGGTATTTTATGACCCGGCAATATTAAAACAAAATACACAAATGTTATACCAAAAGCTATCTCCAAGCTTGTAGAGGTGACTTTAGTTACAACCACCATGGTAATAATAAACTCTAAATGTCAAGCTTTCAAGCTGAATAGTTAATAGGAAGAATACTGCCTAGACATAACGAGAGCATAGTACATCACGATAAGCAAGCCGTGCATGTATGTTTCCCACCAGGGATAAAGCACATCCATCCGTGAAGATGGTATATGGCTGACCTTGAAAGTCAACGAACAAGTAGACAAGCTAAAATAATGTCCGTAATTTACATTAAAAGGAAATGGCAAACTAATTGAAAAGGCTAATTAATTCTGACGAGCTAAGATTAAAGAAAAATGAAATTCTTTCACTCTGATAAGCAATGCTGTTTTGTGTCAATTAAAGAAAGATGCTTATAAGAAAACCTGATTGCGGTTATATGAACTGGTTTATATAATTAACCACTAACCTGGATTTATGATTTATGATTAGCTCCCATTTCATATTCCAGCAAATACAAAAATATCTCCTGGTACTATGCTTCTCTTACTGGAAATACAAATAAAAAACCAGAAACACACAGCTATGCATAATTGATATTGGAACATGTAGACCATAGAGATGGCAATGCAGATGTAGACGGAGGAATTGTGTAGAAGTAGCAAACTGTTCACTAAATGCTTGCACATGTGATTTGACTTCTAAGGTGGTATTACATTTTAGCTTCCATGGATCCGAGAGGAGAATAGGAATCAGCAAGATCTCCAGTTTTCATTTTATAATCTTTTATAGACCTATAGGGAATGTTTACAATTTTGTGAAAAATTCCAACCAATCCTTAGTCAACTAATCTAATAGACAAATGATTGTTTGTAACAAGGAAAATGACTTACTGTTTAATGGAATTCCTATGGGATATCCTGCAGGAGGTGAGAGATGTTAATTGATAACAAAATTTGAATAAATAAAATACTGACGTTCAGGTTTTGATAAATGTTTCAGCGTAAGGCGAGGTGCCAATTTCCCCTTGTGTCTCATTTAGAGCTGGGGTTTTTGCCATCCCAAGAGGAGGTCTGCTAGCAAGTTTCACCTTGAGAGTCCTTTAGTTAGACCATTGTGCTTTTCAGCGTTGTCCTCTAGAGAAATAGAAAAGGACATGCATGGCTCATTATCATATTGGTTCACTTATAAATGTTAATATTTCCATGGAACACTAGGTTACAAAGAAACACTAAAATTGGGTATAGGACACATCAGGGTCATTTTATATATTTAAGAAATGACTTCTACCTAGTTACACAGCTTGTTAAAAGGAAATAGCTTAATGGGTCATCATCCTTCCAAAATAATTCTATCTTTACCAGGACTGAGCTATATAGTACACCAGTCAGGGCTCTGTATCATAAATGTATCTCATGCCTATCAGAACCACCGCCATGTTATAAAGGCAATGCATTTCATTCAATGTGTCACTCTCTCCTCCTGTCTCATTGCCCTATACTTTTCACACAGTTATGTATGTATCCCTGCAATATCTGCTTTTGAAACCCAAGATGTTATCACATTCAGTATGGAGACATACAAATATTATATTTTTTTCTGTCAGGTTATGTTTTTGTAATGCTACATTCTCCAAAATGTCAGGCACCCTATTAAAACCCATAAGCATGACTGCTGACCAGACCTTATTCCCCCTTTGCCCAATAAACATACAAGACTGTATATATACAGTACCTCACAAAAGTTAGTACACCCCTCACATATTTGTAAATAATTTTTACCCCTAAGTGGAAATGTCCCAATTGGGCCCAAAGTGTCAATATTTTGTGTGGCCACCATTATTTTCCAGCACTGTCTTAACCCTCATGGGTATGGAGTTCACCAGAGCTTCACAGGTTACCACTGGAGTCCTCTTCCACTCCTCCATGACAACATCACGGAGCTGGTGGATGTTAGAGACCTTGCACTCCCCCACCTTCCGTTTGAGGATGCCCCACAGATGCACAATAGGGTTTAGGTCTGGAGACATGCTTGGCCAGTCCATCACCTTTACCTTCAGCTTCTTTAGCAAGGCAGTGGTCGTCTTGGAGGTGTGTTTGGGGTCGTTATCATGTTGGAATACTGCCCTGCAGCCCAGTCTCCAAAGGAAGGGGATTGTGCTCTGCTTCAGTGTCTCACAGTACATGTTAGCATTCATGGTTCCCTCAATAAACTGTAGCTCCCCAGTGTTTTCAGCACTCCTGAAAGGCCTAGACCATGACACTCCCACCAGCATGCTTGACTGTAGGCAAGACACTTGTCTTTGTACTCCTCACCTGGTTGCTGACACACACGCTTGACACCATCTGAACCAAATACGTTTATCTTGGTCTCATCGGACCACGGGACATGGTTCCAGTAATCCATGTCCTTATTCTCATTGTCTTCAGCAAACTGTTTGCAGGTTTTCTTGTGCATCATCTTTAGTTGACAGCCATACAAACCAATTTGATGCACTGTGCGGCGTATGGTCTGAGCACTGACATGCTGACCTCCTACCCCTTCAACCTCTGCAGCAATGCTGACAGCACTCATACGTCTATTTCCCAAAGGCAACCTCTGGATATGATGCTGGGCCACATGCACTCAACGTCTTTGGTCGATCATGACGAGGCCTGTTCTGAGTGGAACCTGTCCTGTGAAAATGCTGTATGGTCTTGCCCACCCTGCTGCAGCTTCAGATCCTCAGAGAGTTCTTTGCCATGAGGCGCCATGATAAACTTCCAGTGACCAGTATGAGAGAGTGTGAGAGCGATAACACCAAATTTAACGCACCTGCTCCCCATTCACACCTGAGTCCTTGTAACACTAACGAGTCACATGACACTGGTGAGAAAAAATGGCTAATTGGGCCCAATTTTACATTTCCACTTAGGGGTGTACTCACTTTTGTTGCCAACGGTTTAGACATTAATGGTTGTGTGTTGTTATTTTGAGGGGGCAGCAAATTTACACTGTTATACAGGCTGTACACTTACTACTTTACATTGTAGCAGAGTGTAATTTTTTCAGTGTTGTCACATGAAAAGATATAATAAAATATTTACAAAAGGGGTGTACTCACTTTTGTGAGATACTGTACATTGGTTAAGGGCAATGGCCACAGCTTTATTAATAAACGCAATAGCCAGCAACATCTTAACTCTGTCAGCTGTTGGGATGCTTCACCAAGAGATAGCTCTATCCATGAAAGCCAAAAGTCCGGAGCAGCCTGCCCCTGACATCAGCTCACAGCAGGCCACGACTCCCAAAGCCGACTCGGCCCCTTCCTCCACTTCTAACTGAGCTGGCCAGGAATACCGCGAGCACTGACAAAACAAAAAGAGAAAACAAGAAACCCATAACAACCAAACCCAACAAAAACCTTCTATCTAAGGGCGGGTGAGTGGGGAAAGTTAAGATTTTATTCTGTCCACCATTTGTAACAATGTATCCCCTTAGTCCCAACCCCTTGTTCCTGGCAATAGTCATGTCCTCCCTTCCTGAACAGTGCAGGGAGGTACTTGAATTTGAAGCATTTTTATTTACCTTTTTTTTTAGCACATCTAACAGAACAGGACATCAGTAATAAATACAATACTAGCATTTCAATATCAGTTGGAATTAAATGACAAGCATCCTATATGATTTTTATAATATTTGCCTCACCAATACTTACGTGAAGGATAAATGAGTACCTAATTAAAAAACATGTATATTAATATTTTATCGTACACCACTTAGCCTCTTCCGTATACAAATCAGCTAAATACACATCCACAATACTCAAGCACCGCACACACTTACGCATACACTGTCTTACCCTCCCACACATAAATATATCAGCCTCACTCACCTACAACACTCAGCCCCATTTAACTTTTTCCACACACACAAAGATGGCTTCCATAGACTCTTTAACCCCACAGACACAGCACTCAGATACCACAAACACACTCTATTCATCTTCTGTTATTCACAGAACAGAATCTAAGGAAGTGCCCCAATCTAGTATTCTGCCTAGATATTTTAGTGTACTTTTTAAAAAAAAAATAATTTTATATGAAAATATTCTAAATTTGCAATATTTTTTTTATTTTTTTTTACACATGGTATGTCTTTTGATATTTTAATATGTTGGAAAAAATCATTTGTTATCCAAAATTTTTAAATCGTTTGGAAAAGCTTATACAACAAGAGCTATGGCCTTAGTAGTATACAAAAGATGGCCATATATGGCATAGCCCTGGCTATTCTTGTGGCCCACCGAACACAATATCAAACTTTGAAATCACCAAGGTTATATAATGCCCCCAGATTTGTTCACATAAAGACTGTGTCCAGAAAACAAGAACTTAATATAAGACAATTGAGTTTACATATGATCATATATTTGTGCAATTGGGCTGTAAGTTTTATCATCGAATACTATTAACTAAATTGTACTTTTTAGCAAAAAGAATAAATTAGACTTTTTATAGCAAAAATAACAAGTTTGATTGCATTATATTTTATAAAAAAAGGTGAGGCAATATTACTCTAAGTAAGAAGAAAATATATATTTACATTAGAGTAAATGACTTTGATTATTTATTTAATCCGTTTTTTGTTGAAGCCATAATCCTCAAAACTGAGTTGTCTCACATGTTATCGGCAACAATTACCTTGAACACATCCTTCAACACAAGATTAGCTAACGGTGAACCAAATATTTGTATATTTTCAGAAATATACAAAATGTAAAAGGTAATTCGACCTCACTTGGTAGGAAATGTTGCATGTTCCATGTATTGCAATGTTACTTCTGCGTAGTAAGTCAATTTAGATTTTTATAATTTGAAATAGCTCTATAAACATCAAATAAAATATATATAGAAAAAACACGTACAGTGATTTTATGGTTATAGCAATAGGCGTACGCTTTGTTTTAATCTTTGCAAGGAAAATGTCCTATTAGTCTGAGGTTAGCACTAAAGTTGTTGTTTTGGTGTATTCAGCTATTGAGCTTTACAGATACCCTTGTATGATTGAAATGGCATGTCAGTTCTTTGTTGTGGACATTTATTAAGATAACCATGAGGTCAAAAAGATTATAGGAAGATGTGGCTCTGTGTTCAGGGAAACCATATTATTCTTCCGAGCCACAGGAAAGAACCCGGAGGTAGCAGAAAATAATTAGTCAGTCAAATGCGTTGACTTCATAGGAAAAGAAGGGCAATAAGAAATGCTGATTGCTAAAAATGTCGTTTCCATTTCCAGTAAAGGTACCAGGTGGAATTATACTAGCCAAATGGAAAAGGGAATATAAGTTGTTTTCCCTAAACCACTTAAGGAGAGTCATTGCAGAGAATAGTAATAAAATAGAGATTGACACAAACAGCATACTTGGGTATATGAACATATAAAACAGTAATATTAGTTCTAGTGCTGAAGAAGTAGTGCTCTTTAAAAAAATGTTGAATGTTTATATCTAGAAAGTCTTTAGCGGTTGTAATAAAGGTTTCAATTACTAAACATTTATCTATTTGCTAAAATTAGTCCTAGTTAATCTTGGATCTTGGTATCTATCCACAAACGTTGACCTTTAGGTAATTTGAGTTCATGAATGCAAATTGAACACTGAGATCAGCCATTATTTGTATGTTAGTCTACATCGGAAGGTGTCAATGTACAGTTTTTTACACAGTCCGGTAAGTTAAAAAACGGATGGGACACTTTTCTATAGGGCACAACTTTTCTCATTGTAGCACCTGTGAAAATATAAGGGCTTAATGCCTGAACATGTGAATGTTCATAAAATACTTAATTTCTCTCTTTGGGCATTGAGGATGGATTGTATCCTCAAAATCTAAAGTAACCCAGTAAAGACATAACGAAAACATATTAAATGTTAAGACTTTTCAATGATACATATTTATTTGCAAGACGTACGGACAAGATTGGTGTCATACGGCAACTCTGTGCTCTTTAAATTGTTAGTGAGTACCATTATGTTTTTAATGAATGTGGATGTCTTCCATCGTAGAACAACACTGGGAACCATTAATAGGTCAATGTATATACTTGATTTGCACTAACATATCAAAATTACTTGAACACATTTTTTTTTCTTTTTTTTTTCCAACAAAACTCTAAACTTATTTTGTCTTACATATGTTGCAACCTCCATGACCAAAGGGATCACATGATATTTTTGGAATTGCTACAAGGGCCCCTCTACACACTGTCTGCCCCTCCCCCCACATGGCCCTGCTTTAATTTGTATTCAATATATTGATTACCTTGAAGTTAATGTTTAAGAGTTGTTGGTATAAATATATACATGTATGGAATAATTTATTTAGAAGTATAAAATACAAAATCACAGTTGAATCATGACCTGGAAGAACTGTTTAAAAACATGACATTTCAAGCATTTATTTACCAAACACTCCATTGTGGTGCAAACTTAAAAAAATGACACAATTCAGTTGCATTTCCATCTTCACTCATTGGATTTCCTGTTCAATATAATTCCTTGTATAGAGGATAAACATTTTAATATAATCTATGTCATCAATGCTGAAATGCAAAAAAATACAGAATGGTAAAGTGTGTGTTAGAGATACGTGTCTGTCTATATGTAACTGTCTAGAGATTCTATTATAACGATGAATAAAATATAGTAAATATAATCTAATCGTATTTACTATTTAAATAATATATAGTTATAATTTTTATATTTACTTTGCTTTAGAGCTTTACCCAGATGCTTAAATCAAGTGCACTTAGAAGTGTGCTTACGTATTTTTCATTTAAGTTTAAGAAAACTTTTTTAATACTTGTAATGTAAATATGAAACATTCTGATCTATATGTGTTTTTACAGATACCTTGGAATAACTCGCCCGTTGACATACCCTGCAAGACAAAATGGAAAGCTGATGGCTAAAATGGTATTTATTGTATGGCTCCTATCTGCCTCCATTACACTTCCGCCATTGTTTGGTTGGGCCCAAAATGTCACAGTGGAAAGAATGTGTCTCATTAGCCAAGACTTTGGATACACCGTGTACTCCACTGCTGTTGCCTTTTACATCCCAATGACAGTCATGCTTGTTATGTACCAGAGGATCTTTGTAGCAGCTAAAATCAGCGCAGAGAAGCACAAGTTTGTGAACATTCCCCGCCTCTATGAACAGGAAGGAATTTACTGCCTGGAAGAAAAGATTGCACCCAAGAAGAACTCTAAAAAGAGCAAAGCAGTTGAAGAGTTTGCCACCTTGTCGAAACTTATAAGGCAGGATCGGAAGAACATCTCTATCTTCAAGCGAGAGCAGAAAGCAGCAAGGACTCTAGGAATAATTGTGGGGGCATTTACGTTTTGCTGGTTGCCCTTCTTCTTGTTGTCCACAGCTCGACCTTTTATATGTGGCATAAGGTGTAGCTGCATGCCACTCCGACTGGAGAGGACACTCTTGTGGTTGGGTTACACTAACTCTCTCATCAACCCCTTGATCTATGCCTTCTTCAACAGAGATTTGAGGACTACGTTTTGGAACTTGCTGAGGTGCAAGTACACAAATATAAACAGACGTCTTTCAGCAGCGAGCATGCATGAAGCTCTAAAGGTTACAGAGAGACATGAGGGCATTTTGTAGCCTCCACCTCGTTGGGTTCTACTCTTTATGAGATGACATTTCACATAATATAATGTAACGTTGTTAGAAATAAGCCTCCAAAAGACATAAATGTTCAGTGCCTCTTACAAATGGACAATGCTTTAGTGTGAAAAATGTAATTGAATCTTGTTTCTTTTTTTTTCTAATTTAAATATATAATATTTATTACATTCATTAATATTGAGATGTGATGGGTAACTTTGCAATTTCTTGCTCATTGCAGAAGGAATGCAGAACTTAACTGAATGAGATATTTTATGTCCGAAAAGGCCTATAAAATCAATGAACTTGTAAAAACCAGTTTGCATAGTTTCTATTTATCCAAATGAACTAGCTATTTATAATGCAGTGTCTACTAATGAATGTAAGTGCTATGCGCATTTATTTCCTAGCTCTTAATTACTACAGTTTGCAAAAGAGCATATTTTCACACAGCAATTTACAAAGCTTCGCATTGGAAACTCCTCACTGGTATGTCTGAGGTTATTCTCTCTCTTTTTGCAATGGTTTGATGTGTGTGTAACAGCTTGTATTTTAAGGATTTGTTAACCATTTAAGAAATAAAACTCTTAGCCCTAGTATTTAAATGGCAAAAAAAGGAAAAAAAATAACAACAAAAAAACATATTGCTTATGTAAAATATTTAAATGACATTGTTACCTTTTCCTTAAGTCAGAGTTATTTTACCATTTTAAATATCGAAATGATGACCCCAAAAAGGCATTAAAACATGGATTAATTATTGCTAGCCATTTTAGAGAAAAAAAAAACTCTATAGAGTTAAAGAAAGGAAATTTCATATTAAAGCTTAGCACATGCTGAGATAAAAATTCGAATATAAAAGTAAACTATTTGTGGGCATAAAGCTACACACTTGGTCTCTCACCCATATTCTGCATTTATTTGAACCCCATCCATGGGAGTGGTATACGTGACTAGTTAACAACTAGTGTACACAAACGGGAAACTGTATCATGGCATTTTGTAAATAAAATTTAAAAATCTTCTTGTGGAAGAACTTTAAGAATATAGACGTACTCTGGACATGGGTTTTAGTGACTCAGATCTACCCACGGTCTTATATTTCACATGAGTGAATCTGTTCTTGTGCAGAATGGTGTGGGCTGATCTACTGATGTTTAATTCATGATAGCTTACCTACGAATAATGTCAGTAGCACAGAAAACTGTACTGTAAATTAGGGTTAGAATTGCATCCTACACATTATACTTGCTTGACCCATTTAGGGTCTAAGTATTCTTCTTCATTGAAGAATATATGTCAGCTTGATTCTTTAACCATTCTGAGTTACCCTTTATCAGTCAGAGGATGATTTAGGTAAAAAAAAAAGCTGCTCTGAAATTTAATAACTTGGGGTGGTGCTTACTTGGAATCTAGGTTTAGTGAATGGAACGTTAATAGCTTTCTTTTACAGACTTCATTGTAAGACCTAATTTTGTTATCAGATTTGTGTGCAATGGTGAAAGGCTTATTTTGACGCGATCAAGATATATAAAATGTGAAATGCGTAGGGGTTCGCTAAGAATAGACTTCTGCCCTATAAAACTATTTAAAAAAGAGGATTCTAAACTGCAATATTTGGCTTCACAACCACTTACAAAGTATTTACAAACAGTATATATTTTTTAGATTAATAATGTGTAGTAATCAAAATTCTTGTTGGTTGGATATCAAAATAAGTTTTTTATGAAAGTTATTATATGTAAAAAAATATTTTCATAAGGTGATGTATGTAAAATAGTGTATGTTTTAAAGTAACAGAAATATGTAAGAGATTTGGGAATATATTTCTCCATACATTTAGATATCTTTAAACGTTGCAATTAATATATTTACTTGTGTATATATTAGTTTTTTACTTCAAATGTAAAAAAAAAAAAAATATTTCACCCTCACTTTCTGAATCGGCAACAGATATTGCTTTTATTTAAATACATTCTAGAAATGCAAAACCTTTATAGGAAATTAACAGAAATTTAAAAATAAATTATAATCTCTTTACAATTAAATCATCAAGAGTAGTTTAATAGTGATTTGCTTCGATGGCTGAAGCAAATTATTTTACAATGTATTACTATTTTTTGCCATTTATACTTCTGTTAGCTCTCGTGAAGTCACTAAAACATCTTCACTGTAGTGCATTCCATTTTGTCATCTGTGTATTTAATGTATTTTTTTTCTATGTATGAGAAAACAATTTAAAATATTGCAACGTCCATGTTTGTAAGTATTAAAAAATCGTGTCTGTCATGATGAAGTTCTGCAGTTTATCTCTCCAGATCCTTTTGATGGCCAGAGATATTGCTGAGAGTTTGTACAAATAATCATGTCAAAATGCTGGAAAAAGTCTAATTCTTTCTGTCATTTGCATAACAGTATCTAGGGTGGATAAAAATTCTGGGAGGCTAGTACCCCACCATCTTTAACCTGTTCCTGTTCCAGCCACTACTGGAACAAATATATTTAATAGAGTTGTCACAATTTCATTTCCAAATTTCTGCTTTGTTGGAGAGGGGAGGCTTCACATTTAAATTGCACAAGTCCTCAAACATGACAAAGATATGTCAAGTGCAATGACATTTCATCATAATATTGTGATAGTAGAATTTCTCACTCACGTGTTGATAAAAGATGATTTTGTTTAAAATGTTTTCATACCCTTAGTTTTAGTCTGCTTTTTGTTTTATTTAATTTTTTTTTACAAACATGAGCTCTAAACCCCAGTGACATGGTGGCACTCCAGAACGCATGACATGCGTTTGCACCTACATCAAATATATGATCATCACTGAAGAGGAGTAAGCCATAATCAATAATGTATAAAGTCCATATTTGGCAACTACCTCGCATTTCATGATTAATAGACTCAATAAAACCTTATAGTGTAGCAAAGTTTAATGTTGCTCTTATCCTACATCTTTCAGCACCCTGTGTGTAACTGCTGTTTGACTGAATGTTCAATTTATTCCCAAAAAATATGAAGATTAAAGTAGTAAACTGGTACACATTGCCAAGACCCTCCCAGTGGCTCCTTTTTAATTAATGATGTTGCTAAAGGGCAGCTGTCACTTCTATGGAAATTACACTATTGAATAAAACACTGAAAAATCACCTTTAACTTGTGTTAACCTTTTTTCATGTAATAAGCTATAATTTTTTGAAACTTATATTGAGGATTTAGCAGATTACTTCACTACGCAGTCCAGTCAAGGCACAGCCTGGCACACATGTTATTAATTTCTCCTCTTCTCGTCTTCTCTATATTCTTTCTCTATGCTGCCGCCTGCTCATGCCAATGATTAGCAAGTTGTCATGATGGAGGCGCCCAGCTGTAGATTAAAGAGGGGTGGATTTCTAAAATTTATTTTATTTTCCACACCTCACAAATACATATTTGTCAAAAACAGGAGATATGCAAACATACTATTACAAATTCTAGAATGCAACAGTTTTGATGTACACTTTGAAATCTATAGGATTTTCCAGATGGTGCTAAAACAGCTAGTTACGTTGTTTCTTTAAACTATCATCGTTCGAAATCATGTGATTGTTTAAACTCACTAACCTCTATGTAGAAATGTACATATTATTTTGACTAAATCTAAAGATATTTGACTTTGAATTGTATATCCTTGGAGAGAGTAAATACATTAATATCCATTTAATTGTATTCTTTTTCCAAATCTTTTTCCTAATTAATTTTTCTTCATCACGAGCAGTGTATATTTTACTTCAGAAAGTCAAATATAAAAAACTATATTTCTGGAAAAAAAAAAACATCAGTTGCTTGATAATGCTGTAGTTATTCCCAAATTGTACTATATGTGTGTGATAAAAGCAACATTAAGGTAAAGGGATTTTATTTTCTGTACAGAAATATGAAATAGCTTCAGTTTAAATCTATCTATAATTTTATATCACTCATTTTCATTTTTTTTGTTCTTGGAACTGGCAGCACCAGGATTTAAATGATCATTTTACAACTACTACCTGAAGATATCACAATAAAAAAAAAACAAAAAAAAAACAATGAAAATAAAATAACTACATTTTAATTCCAAACTCCATAGTAACAAGGGGTTAAGCAAATTAATTTATAGCATGACAGTCTTGGCAAATTGCCAGAAACAGTGAAAGAAAGAATAATGGCAGTCACTAACATACCTAGAATGTCATCGCCCATTAAGGAGTTAATATTCAGGAATATAATCTATGTTATAAATAACTTCAAAGATACATTTATTTCACATATGCCAGCTGAACAATACCATAATGTCACTTTCATAAGTAGAATGTGTTTAAGAACTGAGAACAGGAACAGACTGATATATTTTACTATCCGTGCTTTATCCACAGTCAAGTGATGTGTGTTAATAACTTGTGATTGATAAACACAAATGCACAGCTGTTGCAGAATCAAAACTATAAAGAAACATATTTTTCACAGATCTTTTAGTATAGTGTATAACGCAGTGGAATGGCTTTTTATAATGTATAGCCAACATTTGATGTCTATATAGCCATCTCACCATATTGGATCATACGACTGCAGAGATTCAGGTTAGCTTGTCTGCACAAGGGACAATTAACTCCTATATGCTTAAACCATGTATCAGCATAATGTATTTTGAACTGTGCGGTATTAGCATTCTAATAAAGTTTATTAAAAATTTAACCATTCAGGATGTGTCATAGATTCTATTTGTTGCTGGTGGCGTTTGTACTACTTCATAAAATACTCTGAAATACTGGGAAACTCACAGGATGCAGCTATAAGAAAACACATAATCTATGCTAATCTCTTGCTTTCATCTCTCAAAGCAAATTCTAACAGCCGTGTCCGGTGAAGCAGGACATCAGTGAGTGAGGCAAAAGGTTGGGCTAGAGACACGAATCACATAACCAACATCGCCCAAAGGACTGTCATGCCCAGAAAGGCAGCGAGTCTGCCTTAAGCATTGGAAGGCCCGGTGCGATTGCATGTCAGGCTGACTGCCAATCATGCAGACGGGCCAACTAAGGACGTACTATGCACACAGCGCCCTGAACTTGGCACAAATGTGTCTAATGCTGCCCTCACTCTAAGACTTCTGCAGAGTTTATTCCCTTTCTGGGCAATAATCATGTGGGTTTAGTTACAGTATAAGATAATACATTACATAAGCCTGCAACAACGTCAATGTACCCCATGTTTGGCAGGTCCTCTCCAACAGCCTTATGTCTGCTCTTAAGAGATACTTGGGGAAAAAATTCCATCTGGGGCTCTCTGCAGTACAAGGTTAAATAGGGCTCTGGAGCGAGGCACCAGTGACAGGGAGTTGGCCTACACTCCCAAATATATTTATATATAAAAAAGCCAAGTAAGCATTTTTGGTCGGGGGGAGGTGCGATGACGTAAGGGCGCAACGTGCTACGTGCATCGCTCGGCAAGAAGCACGCCTAAGCAATGAGCCACGAGGAAAGCAAAGTATGCTGAGAAAACTAAGCTGTTAGACACAGAACCTCTGAGCCTTTTCTTATCTAATCATGCTGATTTATAGCCTATACTACAATTTCAGAAGCTGAGACTAAATGAGAAACTTCTGACTAAAGTAGAGACCTATAGTTTAAGGAAAATACAAATTCAGTTAAATCTAACACAATTTTAGGGTGTGCCTACAAAAGCATATGCAGAGGCTACTTGATAAAAATGGGTGCAATAGCGAATAAACAAAGAGAGAGTGACACTAACACCCTATACATCCAACTATTATTTACAAAAAGAAAATAAGATAACCGCCACAGTAAACAGATCCAAAAAAATTATGAACCTTCAGAATCAGATTAAAGAACATGAAATTGAGATAATGCGTTGGAAATTAGAAAAATTAAAACAGATATGGTACCATAAAAACAATAAAGCAGACAAAATATTATCTAATCAATTAAAAGAAAAAAAAACCAGACAAATAATCGAATATACAAAATAATAGATGAAGAAGGCTGTATATATTGGTCACCAAAAGAATTCCTAAGTGCTAACATTGTTCCTATTCTTAAAGCAAAAAAAGACCCAGAACAAAATGATGAATTATACGAACGATTTTGTTAATTAACTCAGATGCAAAATTGATGGCGGCTATTTTGACTAAGAGCCTGAAACATATACTCCCTGATATAGTACACAGAGATCAAATTGGCTTTATATCAGGAAGAAAACAGTATAGTAACATCAGAAGGATAATAAATCTGCTTGACAGGACAAATAGAGATAAACAACCTCTTATAACAAGCTCAATAGACGCTGAAAAAGCGTTTGATCATGTGGACTGGGAGTTTCTGTTTCAGTCTCTAAATAGTTTTGGTATGGATGGGTTTATGTACAGCTCCATTAAAGCCCTATATTTGTGTCTCTCAGCGAGAACGGTGGGTCAAAATATACTGGCAGATTGGTTCCCACTTAGCAATGGGACTAGACAGGGTTGCCCCCTGTCGCCTTTACTATCAATAGAATCATTAGCTATTGAAATAAGAAACAACTATAATATGAATGGATTAAATATAGGACAAGATAAGTACAAGATCAGTCTATATGTAGACGACATCTTGATCACATTGACAGACCCATTAAAATCAATCATTAAGAGATATGTCAAACTTATATGTCTGTTTCAAACTATAGGTTAAGTATAGAAAAGACTACGATTATGCATACTAATATTAGCAATAAGACTGTTGTAGCATGCCAAAATTAACTTAACTATAAATGGGTAAAAGATTACTTGAACTATTTAGGTCTGAGTATTACTTCAGATTCAAAATCTACGATAGAAACAAATTTTATGAAAGTACTTAAAGAGACTAATATTATGTTCAAACAATGGAAAAACATGCCTCTGCCGTGGTGAGGGAGCATAAATATATTTAAATCATATACTCTACCCAAGTGGACAAATATTTTTAATCACGTAGCTTTAAATATACCGGACGGCTGGCTTAATTTAGCACAGTCACACATCTCTAAATTCATATGGGCATGAAAAAAGGCTAGACTCAGTAATAAAATGTTATCATTAGATATTTAAAAAAGGGGAGTCAAGGACAAATATCTATGAGACAAATCTATGAGGCCAAAATATTATATTATATATACAGTTGCAAGAAAAAGTATGTGAACCCTTCGGAATGATATGGATTTCTGAACAAATTGGTCATAACATGTGATCTGATCATCATCTAAGTCACAACAATAGACAATCACAGTCTGCTTAAACTAATAACACACAAAGAATGAAAGGTTGCCATGTTTTTATTGAACACACTATGTAAACATTCACAGTGCAGGTGGAAAAAGTATGTGAACCCTTGGATTAAATAACTGGTTGAACCTCCTTTGGCAGCAATAACTTCAACCAAACGTTTCCTGTAATTGCAGATCAGACGTGCACAACGGTCAGGAGTAATTCTTGACCATTCCTCTTTACAGAACTGTTTCAGTTCAGCAATATTCTTGGGATGTCTGATGTGAATCTGTTTCTTGAGGTCATGCCACAGCATCTCAATCGGGTTGAGGTCAGGACTCTGACTGGGCCACTTCAGAAGGCATATTATCTTCTGTTTAAGCCAATCTGTTGTTGATTTACTTCTATGCTTTGGGTCATTGTCCTGTTGCAACACCCATCTACTGTTGAGCTTCAGCTGGTAGACAGATGGCCTTAAGTTCTCCTGCAAAATGTCTTGATAAACTTGGGAATTAATTTTTCCTTCGATGATAGCAATCCGTCCAGGCCCTGACGCAGCAAAGCAGCCCCAAACCACGATGCCCCCACCACCATACTTCACAATTGGGATGAGGTTTTGATGTCGGTGTGCTGTGCCTTTTTTTCGCCACACATAGTATTGTGTGTTTCTTCCAAACAACTCAACTTTGGTTTCATCAGTCCACAGAATATTTTGCCAGTACTGCTGTGGAACATCCAGGTGCTCTTGTGCAAACTGTAAACGTGCAGCAATGTTTTGTCTGGACAGCAGTGGCTTCCTCTGTGGTATCCTCCCATGAAATCCATTCTTGTTTAGTGTTTTACGTATTGTAGATTTGTTAACAGGGATGTTAGCATTTGCCAGTGACTTTTGTAAGTCTTTAGCTGACACTAGGATTCTTCTTCACCTCATTGAGCAGTCTGCGCTGTGCTCTTGCAGTCATCTTTACAGGACGGCCACTCCTAGGGAGCGTAGCAGCAGTGCTGAACTTTCTCCATTTATAGACAATTTGTCTTACCGTGGACTGATGAACAGCAAGGCTTTTGGAGATACTTTTATAACCCTTTCCAGCTTTATGCTACAATTCTTAATTGTAGGTCTTCTGAGAGCTCTTTTGTGTGAGGCATCATTCACATCAGGCAATGCTTCTTGTGAAAAGCAAACCCAGAACTGGTGTGTGTTTTGTATAGGGCAGGGCAGCTGTAACCAACACCTCCAATCTCATCTCATTGATTGGACTCCAGTTGGCTGACATCTCACTCCAATTAGCTCTTGGAGATGTCATTAGTCTAGGGGTTCACATACTTTTCCCACCTGCACTGTGAATGTTTACATGGTGTGTTCAATAAAAACATGGCAACATTTAATTCTGTGTGTGTTATTAGTTTAAGCAGACTGTGATTGTCTATTGTTGTGACTTAGATGATGATCAGATCACATTTTATGACAAATTTGTGCAGAAATCCATATCATTCCAAAGGGTTCACATACTTTTTCTTGCAATTGTATATATATATATATATATATCAATCATATATACATGTGTTGCATAATAAAAACAACCTCTCAGAAGCTTGGTACAAAATAGAAAGTGATACGTGTAATATGAAAGACTTAATACAGATATTTTTGTACTAATACAACCCCAAGATTAATTAATAAAATGGAACACTGAATAACATAATTGAAAATCTAATGCTCTCGATATATAAATTAAAAACTAAATTAAGATTAAAAAATAAATTTATAAAAATTTTAAATATTGAAATAATAATAACATATAATCATATTATATTATTGAAAAGCTGGAGAGAAGCAGGCATGGCTAAAATTCAAAAGTTACTAGAAGGACTAAATATATATATATATATATAAAAATATATATATATATATATATTTTTATATTTAAGACATGTACCTCCCTGGTATTATTTTTGGTGATGCTTCTGTGGTTCAGGCTTGGTACTCTTGTCATCATAAATATCTCCTAAAATGTATTAAGTGTTTCATGTTAAACTCCCCGTGCTCCCCCTCCCCCCGGATTCCCCTCCCTACCATGATAATTAAATCCTATTGTGAATTCCTGTCTGTCAGTCTTGGTTTCCCAGCTTGTTTTGGAGAGAGACAGCTCCTCTAACATCATTTGTATTACAAATACATTGTATTCTGCTTATCTGCCTGTTTTGGGGAGTTCTATTTGTTCATCTCATTTCCTCTTCTCCTTTACCTTGTCCCCTCCCCTCTCTGTAGCTGGATGTGAATTATGCCCCTGTTGATTATTACACACTATATTCAGAGAGGAGAAACAACAATAATAATAATAATTTAAAAAAAAGGTAAATAAAGAAGGAATCAGGGAAGGAGGGGGGTCTCAAAGGAACTTTGACGCCATAGTGCTGTTTATTAGGTAGACATTTCCATTTTGTTTATCCATGT